CGGGTACCTCGCATCGCGTCCCTCAATCGCCGCCGACGCGACTACCTCCCTCCCTCCCTCCCCCCTCACCTCACTCCTCACGCTTCCTAGCACTCTCTCAACCCCACCACACCTCACACGATGTCGTGGAAGATCGGAAAGAGTAAGTCCCGACGATGCGTAGCGCATCATTTACCCCGCGCGCCCCCATGACTCATCACTGGACACTCAACGCTGACGCCACAGAGTTCAAGGACTCTGGCCTCCTCTCCTCCAAGAGCCATACGCCGTCGCCCGCGCCCGAGTCACGGTCAACCACACCCACCCCAGGCAACCCACAGCCCGAGCTTGCGCAGAAGCCTGTCGCGCGCAGTGGTATCCTACGCATCCGCGTCACAGCCGGCAAGGGGTTGAGCTTGCCCCAGGGTGGTGAGTACGAGGGAGACGGGGGGAGGAGAGGCGGGCGCCACATTCCCGCTTCGCTCCCCGCTTTCGCTCCGAGAGCTCTTCTGTCGCTCTGTAATACTCGCTAACACCAGTTCCCGTTCCCCAATGCGTGCAGACAGCGCTTCAGCAGCACCCCACCTCCGCCCTCTCCCAGTCCCTCTCATCCTCTCCTCGCATCTCCAACCAGCGGCAAACGGCAAACCCACGCGACTCGCTGCAGCGCAAGCAGTTGTGGTGGCTGCCATATGTCGTTCTCGAGTTTGACAAGAACGAGGTTCTCGTCGACGCCCTGGGGGGAGACTTGGCCAACCCCGTGTGGATGTACTCGACCCAATTCGATGTCTCGCGTTCATCCGAGATCGGTATCAGCGCCTACCTCCGCTCCGCGCCGCCCAAGCACGGTGATGTGGCCGACATGAGCTCAAGTGATCTGAACCTTGGCTCGATTCGCTTCACCCCAGACCTCGTGACCAACCGCCTCAACGACGAGTGGATTCCACTCACCAGCGGCTCAGGTGCCATCCACGTTCAGGTCTCGTTCAAGCCGACCGTGGGGCAGCCTCTCACAATTGACTCGTTTGAATTGCTCAAGGTCATCGGCAAGGGCTCGTTTGGCAAGGTGATGCAGGTGCGCAAGCGCGACACACTGCGTATCTACGCTCTCAAGACAATCCGCAAGGCGCACATTGTCAGCCGTTCCGAGGTTACTCACACGTTGGCTGAGCGTACCGTGCTGGCGCAGGTCAACTCGCCATTCATTGTGCCTCTCAAGTTTTCGTTCCAGAGCAAGGAAAAGCTCTACCTGGTGCTCGCCTTTGTCAATGGCGGCGAGCTGTTCCACCATCTGCAGCGTGAGGGCAAGTTCAACGAAACACGATCACGCTTCTATGCGGCGGAACTCCTACTTGCCCTGGAGCACTTGCACGGCTTCAATGTGGTGTACCGCGACCTCAAACCCGAGAATATTCTGCTCGACTACACTGGCCACATTGCGCTCTGTGACTTCGGCCTTTGCAAGCTCAACATGAGCGCAAGCGAGACAACAAACACGTTCTGCGGCACCCCCGAGTATCTTGCACCCGAGTTGCTCTCGGGCCACGGATACACCAAGTGTGTTGACTGGTGGACGCTGGGTGTGCTTCTGTACGAGATGGTGAGTTGATCGACGCGCGCCGCAAACCCATGCTAATCTCCAGCTCACTGGCCTCCCGCCCTTTTACGACGAAAACACAAACGAGATGTACCGCAAGATCTTGAGCGACCCCCTGCGCTTCCCCGACGAGGTTGGGCCCGAGGCACGCTCGCTTCTCACTCGCTTGCTCGACCGCGACCCTTCGCGGCGACTCGGTGTCAACGGCGCCCAGGAGATCAAGGACCACCCCTTTTTCTCGCGCCACATCGACTTCAAGAAGCTGCTGCAGAAAAAGATCCCGCCGCCGTTCAAGCCTGCTGTCGCCAGCGCCATCGACACGTCCAACTTTGACGAGGAGTTTACCTCGGAGGTGCCACAGGACTCTGTCGTTGCCGACTCGCACCTCTCGCAGACGGTGCAGCAGCAGTTTGAGGGCTTTTCGTGGAGCGTGTCGCCGCTCGGCGAGTCGGTAGGGCGATACTAGGCGAGTGCGCGTTGCAGCGTTTGCTGGCACTCGCGCTGGTATGGTCACAAGGAGATCACACTGAGTACGGTCGCGCGTCGCATGTAAGAGAGATAGAGTAGATTGGTGTGGCGAAACCACGCAATAGCTCATGGATACCCATCGCGCATGTAAACCTCGACGGCATGGTCTATACGAGCTGCTGCTGAACATGCATCGTCTATCTCGCTCTAAGGATCGCCTACGCGCGCTTCTTTGCGTGGTACATGTAGTTGACAATCTCACCGAGGGGCTTGTACCACGTCCCCTCCGCACCGGGGGTGAGGCGCCAGCGGCCGCCGAGGGGGTCGTAGATGATGCCGCGCGTCTCGCCGACCTCGTTCGTCCGGATATCCGCAGCGCCCTCCTGCCTCTCCCAGACCTCATACCCGCCCATTTCAGCATACACGAACCTGCGCAGCTCCTCTGGCCGGACAAACTTGCTATACGTATGCGTGCCGGGCGTGACGAGGCGGAGGACGTCCTCGGCCAACGTAAGAGTGAGGAGCTGGGCGAGCGGCGTGCGCGAGATGGTCGAGAGCACCATATGTCCGCCCGGGCGCACCATATCGCCCAGACACTGGAGGAAGCCGCCGGGCGCGTCGACGTGCTCGAGCACCTCCATGCTGCACACGACGTCGAACGACTCGCCCGCGTCGCGCAGCGCCTCGGCCGACGTGTGCCGGTACTCCAGCCGGCCGGGCGCCGCCGAGTGTGGAGACGAAGCACCTTCGTGCACGTACGGGAGCTGCGGGTCGTGCGAGGCGTGCGTGCGTGCGATCGCGATGTTGTGCGCCGACGCGTCGATGGCGAGCACGTCGCCGCCGAGGCGCGCGAGAGACTGGGGTCAGCGGAGAGCGGGCGAGCGGGCGAGCGGGGCGGAGCGTGGTCTTCAGAGCTATCCGAAGGCGGCCCGTTGCGAGCCCAGCCTACTCACCTCAGCCAACAGCCCCCCGCCACACCCGACGTCGAGCACGCGCAGGCCGGACAGCCACCGCCCCTGGCCGCGGGCATCTGCGCGCGCGCGGTCGTTGTGCCGCCCTTCAAACGTCCATTCCGGTTCGGAGGCGGGGTCCAGCGCGACCTTTTGGCGCACGTACTCGACCCGCTCGGGGTTCATGCGGTGCAGGAGCGCGAATTCGCCGCTCTCGTCCCACCAGTGCTCGGAGAGGCGGGAGAAGTGGGCGATCTCGTCCGAGTTGACGGTTGTGAATGGGGGCGGGGACGAGGAGTGGTGGCGGGAGTTGGGGAGGGGACGGAGGGCGTGGGGGCGAGAGGAGGAGAGCAAGGGCGCGGGGGTGGGACGGAGAGGCGCGAGGGCGCGCAGGACGCGCGCGGCGCGGCGGGATAGCATTGTTGAGGTCGCGAGAGATGGTGGAGAGAGCGAGTGGAGGCCGGAAAATGTCGGAGCGGAGGTCAAGAACGGGAGATTGGGAGAGGTACACAAAGATGCGGGAGTATTTTCGTTCTCTGAAGCATTCTGACAATTCATCCTGTGCTCAATCTCCAATGCGCTGTCGACCTGCCTCAAACTCGATGTGACACTGCTGTTGGAGTCGAAAAGAGAGGAGCGAGGCTCATGCGCGTGGGCTGCTTTGCAGTTCGGAGGTCCGTGGACCACGAACCACGGCAGCGGTCGGTTCCCCCCGGCGCCCAGGCAGAACGGGTGAGTGGAAGCCAAGCATCGATGGTGGCACGTGAGCACTACCCATGACAACGAGCAATGTGACTCAGCCGTCGTCACTTCGCCCGTTGCTGAGACGACATCTGATATAAATCACAAGTCTTGGCCTCTTCTTTCTCATCCAACTCTCTCAGTCGACCCCCTGCCCCCCTTCATCACTGCCACCATGCCACTCTCCGGCTCGTGCCTCTGCGGCGCCGTAACGGTCACGATCAAGGATCCTGCGCCGGTCCTCGCCGAAGGGCTGGAAGTATGCGGCTGCACCGACTGCCGGCAGTTCACGGGGTGTGCGCGCGGCGCCGAGTTCCTCGATGCGCAGACGGCCAACGTCGAGTTCAAGGGCGCAGACAACCTCAAAATGTACGAGAAGGGCACGGACGCGGGCAACAAGTACAAGCGCCACTTTTGCGGGACATGCGGCAGCTCGGTATACGACCAGACGAGCATGCGGGATGGCAAGCAGCTGGTTGTGCATGCTGGTGGGTGCAGCGAGTCGAGGGCTGCTAGGAGGCGAGACGGAGGGCGCCAGGAGGCAGCGCAAGAGTCGCTGATGCCAGGCGTCTTCCCGCCCGGATCGCTACCCAAGCCCAGCGTTTACATTTGGCGACGCAGCGCTGAGGAGTGGGACGCGCCGCTGCCTGGTGTCATGGCGCTGGACAAGCAGGACATGCCGGGGGAGGGGGAGTAGGAGGTGGGGGGTCCGCCGCTGCAGACGGGGCAGTCACCTGATGCGATGCTACATACGATAAGAAGACTGTCGACGCGGTCGTGAGCTGAAGTCATCTCTGTGAAGCAGAACACGTTGTTGTGACGTCATCCTGCCGTGTGGTAGCCACGATTTGCCTCCGCCCACTGTCTCGAGCACCGACGTGGGGCAGTGTGGCACTCCAAGTGCAGATCGCCAGCTCTCGACGTGAATCTTTAGATCAATGCATGTCGCGACATCATGAAGCATCATACCGACATTGTCTCTAGCCCAATGCAGTGCCGCCCTGCCTCGCGGCCGACATTGCAAGTCATGGATGCCGGCACGTCGTGGTATGAACCAGCAGGTTCCACCTCCACCTCGGCCGCCTCCACCTTGACAACCTCTTTTGCTCTTCAGCCGCAACCCACACCTCTTTTCCTCTCTTTCTAGAAACTCTCTCTCCCTCCCTCTCACAACTACACACCTAACACACCTAAACATCCATACTATGCCTCCCCGACCACTCCCCGGCAAAAGACGCAGCGAGGGCGAATCCTCGCGCGCCAGCAAGAAAGGCAAGGAGCCCGAATACAACACCTTTGACGAGTGCATGGAAGGCGGCGTCGACGCCGAAGAGCGCGGCGAGCGCTACCGCTCCGGCGAGAAAGCGCAGCGCGCATACGAACAGGCCGCCGAGCTGTATGCCCAGGCGCTGGCCAAAGACGAAAAGTCGTTTGACGCCGCATACAATCTCGGCCGCGTCATGTACCGGCTAGCGAGCGAGTTCTACCTGCCGCCCTCGAGCCTCGACGTGTGGACTGGCGCCATGATGCTCTTCAAGCGCGCCTTTGGTGCATCGGACGACCCAACGAACAAGAACGACGCGGCGTTCAACCTCGCCGAGACATTCCACTCGCTCGCCGACGTCGTCGAGGAGTACCAGGGCGAGCGGGCGCGGCCGCAGGCCATGGAGCTGCGCGAGAACGCCACACAGCTCATCATGCCGGTCGTTTCGACGAATCTTATGGTTGCCGAGTTCCGGGAGCAGAACCCCGATGCATTGGACGCTCCAGAGCAGGCGGCGGCGGCTGCTGCTGCTCCCAGCGCCGCGGCGGAGGGGATGGACGTCGACGGCGATCAGCCGGCCGCCGCCCGGGCCGACGACATGGCGGTCGACTCTGAGGCGGGCACCGAGCCTAAGCCCGGCGAGGACAGCTTCAAGCCAGCCGGCGGCATTCCAACGGGCGACTCGCTCGCCGACGCAGTCCTCCTCATGGCCGACATCGGGATCACGCTGTGGAACTACTTCAGCCCACCGCAGATGCCGCCCGACAGCCAGCAAGAGGCGATTAGCGGCATCCTCGAGACGGCGCGCAAGCACATTCCTCCTACGCGACAGGCCGAGATCGACCTCATGGAGACCAAGATGCTGCTGCAGCTCGACAGCAACATGTGGGACATGGTCAAGGGGCAGGTGACGCCCGGCAGCGGGCTGGACGCGACGCTCGACAAGGCGGTGGTTGCGATCGAGCGCATCCTGACGTCGCTCGACGCCTCGCCGTCCGACGACAGCTCTACGCGCGCCGACATTCTCACCACTTTGGCCGATACGGAGATGAACGCTGCCGCGCGCCTCATGATGCTCATGTCTCGCACGCAAGACCGCGCACCGCTCGGCACGCGCGCGTGGGCCCATCTCTCCGCGGCCGCGCGCCACCTCACGCAAGCCGCCGGCCTGCCCGTGACGGCGGGGACGCCGCGCGAATTCAAGCCAAACGTCTACCTCGGCTTGATGCGGAGCACGCTGCTGCGTGCGCGCCTGGCGCCCGTGAATGCGACGGCGGCGGCCAACGCCCAAAAGCTGCTGGACAACGCGGCGGCCTACGCCGCCAAAGCAGCCGACGCGGTCGGCTGGGCGCTGCCCAAGCTGCCCCGGACAAACGACCCGCAGCCGAACCCGTTCTTCAGCGCGCCGCTCGCCCCGCCCTTCCCCGCCGGCTGGGACATGGAGATGCTCGCGCGCGACGTGCAGCTCCTCATGCTCCGCGTAGTGTATTTCGTCGGCACGGGCATGTTCGCCGGCGTCGACAGGGACTATTATGACGCAGCGGGCAAGGCGATTATCGAGGGCATCCAGAGCGTCAAGAACGGCCCGCGCCGCCTCATGCCCCGCGACCTCGAGCGCTTCCTCTCGGACATCGAGGAGGAGGAGGGGCCGATGGACGCCGCCGAGACCGCGTGGTGGGCCGACATCCGCGGGCGTATCGAGGCGGGCGTCCCGCCCGAAGAGCACCGCGAGGAGGCGCCGCAGGAGTTTGCGCCGGCGGTCGCCGAGGCGATCAAGAGTTCCGCCGACGACGGCGAGGTGCAGACGGCCCCGGCGGCGAAGTGAGGGAGCGCGCGATGGGGCTCACGTTAAATATATTGTAACTCGTGTCAATGTGAGAACCCGACTGGCACCGCCGCGAACGGTACAGATGCATCCTATCACAGTCCCACTACAGCTAGTCGTCGGTCGGCGGCAGGCTGACAGGCGGCCGGTCGCTCCACCCCATCTGCTCGGCGAAGCGGGCGAGGAACCAGCCTGTAAGTCCCCATACTTCGAGAGGCATGGGCTCGTCGGGCGGGGGGTGGATGAGGTCGCCGCACCGGATCTTCCAGTACGGCCGCCGCCCGTCGAGGCGGAAGTAGTGGGCTGCCTGGCGCGCGGGGTCTGCGACGGCCGAGAGCGGCAGCGGGATCAGCCCGCTCACTTCTCCGGGGTCTGGGCGGAGCGTGCTCAAGCTCAGCGAGGGCAGGGGCTTGGTCGTCGCGTTGCCGGAGATGGCGGCGTCGGTTGCTGCGTCGAATGCGTCCGAGGTGTGTACGAAGCCCTGGGGTTAGCCCAACGCCAACCCCGTAAAGCAGACGCAATGATGCAAGCGATCTCACAGCAATGCCCGCGGCTGTGCTTGCGCCCTCGCGCCCACCCACTCACAATGATCGGCCAGACACGCGACTTGTTTCCCAACGAATACTCGGGATTGAGCGAACCGAGCACTTCCACATTTGTTGTGGGCAGTGCGAGCTCCTCCTCGGTTTCACGCAGCGCAGTGTGCACAACACTGGCGTCGCCTTCTTCTACCTTGCCGCCTGGAAAGCTGGCGTCAGTGTGTGCGTTATATAGGGGATAGAGCTGCAGAGAAATCGAACAATGGCATCGCCACCATATGCAGCTCGACCTGCCACAATGTGATGGCGACTCGCAGTCGACAGGGCAGCGGCCATCCTTCACACGCCACCCACCGCCTCACCCCTCCCCTCCTCCCTTCATCTCTCGCCAACACTCACCTTGCCTCGCTCGCATGCACCCGCAACCCCGCAGCCCGCACCTCCATGATAACGTGCGCGACACCGCCGATGTTAGCCAGCGGGATGAGCACGCCGGCATCGCGCGGCGGCCGCTTGTCGAACTTGCACGTGTGGGCGGGCATGTCGGCGATGGGCATAGTCGGCGCGTCGTTGAGCTTTGCGCGCATGGCGGCCAAGTCGGCGCGGCTGAAAGCCAGCGGGGGCGGGGTGAGGCCGGCGTTCGCGCGTGGCTTCAAGCTCGCGGCGGGCGGCACGTGCTCCGGCATCGCGTCGGCACCCCAGCGCGACGGCGCGATGCCGCTGAACACGCTGCGCGTGAGTGCTGGGCGGATGCGCATCATGATGTGGGAGGAGAGAAGGGGGGGAGAGATGGAGTACAAGTAAGAGGAGGTGCCGCCGATTGCCGGTGGGCAGATAGTTCGCCGTGTGGAGGTGGAGGCCGAGTGGAGGCGAATCCGCTCCGAGGCTGTCGGACATGAAGCATGCGACGAGCGGCGGGCTAAGCCGCATGAGTCGATACGAGCGGGTGTGCATTGGGGTCTAGTCTAGGTCTCTAGGAAGATAAGCGGGCGTGGAGTCTGTTCAAAAGGTTGAGCGAGCGGCTTCACTGCGCAGTCCACCCGCCGTCGATGACCTGCTCGCTGCCGGTAATCGTCTCGGCCGCGTCGCTACACAGGAACACAGCGAGGGCGCCAACAGAGCTGGGGCGCGTGAAGCGCTTCATAGGCTGCTTCTCGCCGACAAGGCGCTCGGCCGCCTCGGCCTCGCTGATCCCGCCCTCTAAGGCGCGCGCAGCCACCTGCCGCTGCACAAGGGCCGTCTCGACCCACCCGGGACAGATAGCGTTGGCGGTGATCCCGGCATTCGCATTCTCGAGCGCGACGACCTTGGTGAGGCCGATGAGGCCGTGCTTGGCCGCCACGTACGCGCACTTGCCTTCGGACCCGACGCGGCCGTGCGTGCTCGCGATATTGATGATGCGGCCCCACCCGCGGCGCTGCATGTGCGGGAGCGCGGCTTTGGTCGCGTGGAACGCGGCCGAGAGGTTGATGCTGATCACGGCGTCCCACCGCTCGGCGGGGAAGTCTTCGGTGCGCGCCACGTGCTGGATCCCCGCGTTGTTCACGAGCACGTCCAGGCGCCCGAAGGCGGACACGGTGGCCTCTACCAGCGCCGCAACTTGAGCAGGATCCGACATGTCCGCCGGGTGGTGCGACACGCGCACGCCGTGCGATGAGAGGGAGGAGACGAGGGCCGCGATCTCGGCTTCTGTGCCAAACCCGTTCAGCATGACGTCGTATCCTGCGCCCGCGAGGGCTGTCGCGATGCCGAGCCCGATGCCGCTTGTGGATCCGGTGACTAGAGCTGCGCGGGGCATGACGAGGAGTGTACGGCAGTGCTCAAAGGGATGATGCTGACGTTGCTGGTCTGTACAACGTTCGAGACGTCGGCTCTGATGCCCACCCACGTGACGAGGGGTCACTCTGTTGGTGCCGGGCTGCGGCTCACTCGATCTCTTCGCGGCTTTGTAGTATCAGTAATCAGCGACGCATGACACCACAACGGAGAACAGGAGAGATGTCATGGAATTGTGCGATGACAACAACAGAATGGGAGAAGAAACCTTGTGCCCCATCATTGCTCCAGCCAAGCTGATGTATAGAGCTCCACAAGACGCTTCCCAACAACAACACTGTTGGTGAAACGGTATCATGCGTCGTTGCCATCGACGCGGCAGGGGTTCGACTCCCTTACAGTGTAGTACTTTTTGGCTTTGTAGACCACCCCCGCCCAGTATCACCTGACGCAATGCCACGTGAAGTGACGCTTGCATCACAAGTTCATCTCACCACCTGGCCATCTGTCGACCTCCGCTCTGTCATCTACTCTCTCCCCTCGACCCCGCCTAATGCCTTCAGCACCTCCCGCCCCCGACTCCTCTGCTCCTTCTCCGGACCCCGCGTCGGAGCGTCGCCCGCACATGGAGCACTCGTCGTCGTCCAGTGCGCCAGCTGCTGCCGAGAAGGACCTGTCAGCGCCCAAGCCGCAACGACACGCTCGTCTCGTGACCGAGATTGTGCAACTTCCCCCCGATCCCGACAGCGACGATTCAGATGACGAGCGTAATCCTGCCGTAGACCCGTCGCCGAATGACGGCGACGGCGCGCCGGACGATGACTTCCTAGCGACGTACCCGGACAGCACGGAGGAGCTGCACCTGCAGCACCTGCGCTTGGAGAACACGTCACTTCCACCTCTCCGCCTGCCGCGTTTCACGCAGCTCCAGCGTCTGTGTCTTCGTCAGAACGAGCTCTCTTCACCTCTTCCCGCCGAGTGTCTGAAGCTCGGCGCGCTGGAGGATCTCGACCTCTACGACAACAGGCTCGGGCCACGAGTCGTAGACGACGAGCTGCAGGGAGTGCCGAAGGTAACGTGAGTAACTCGGATCGGAGGGGCGTACGCTCTAACGGCAGCTCACTCGACCTGTCGTTCAACAACATCCGCCATGTCCCAAACCTGCCCTCGCTGTCGGCCGTCGACACGCTCTATCTCGTCCAGAACAAGATCACGCGTATCGAAGAGGGCGCGCTGGACTGGTGCGCGGCCAAGATGAGGAGCATCGAGCTGGGCGGCAACCGCATTCGTGTGAGTATCGAGGTGGAGGGAGGAGGCGTCACTTGTCTTCTTGCTCGCGCCTTTACGGCCCACCGACCGGCACATGCTCATCTCAGGTCATGGAGAACATCGAGATGCTCACGAATCTGGAGGAACTGTGGCTCGGGAAGAACAAGATCCGGCGGCTCGAGTGCCTCGATACGTTCTCCAAGCTCAAGATTCTTAGCATTCAGAGCAACCGCATCACGAAGATGGAGGGGCTCGAGGGACTGGTCAATCTCGAGGAGCTGTATCTGAGCCACAACGGGCTGAAGAAGATCGAGGGGCTTGAAAAGAATGTGAGTAAGACGAGCTCCTGGTGAAGGTAATATCGTCTCTAGGATGGGACGACCAGGCTTGACACTGCACGCTTCGCGCCCCTCGCTGCTCCGCTGACCTGCAGACCAAGCTTCGCACGCTCGACGTGGGTAACAACGAGATTGAGGAGGTCGAGGGCGTGTCGCACCTCGCCGACCTGGAGGAGTTTTGGGTGAGTGTGGTGCACGAGCACACGCAGTGATGGGCGACTAACACGAAGGCGTCGGGCAACAAGATCCAGAACCTCCGGAGCGTGGAGAAGCAGCTCGCGGGGCTCAAGAAACTCGAGACGGTGTATCTGGAGGGCAACCCGTGCCAGACGAACGACCGCGCACAATACCGGCGCAAGGTGATGCTCGCGCTGCCGCAGGTCAAGCAGATTGATGCGACGTGAGTGGGGATGGCGCGAGCGCGGGCGCGGGCGCGGGCGCGGGCGCAGGCGAGAGCGGGGCCCTCACTGACGCCAGCTTCGTCCGCACATAGAGATGACTCTCCACACTAGCGAAAGCGGAGCTTGGCCCGTCTGGGCTGGGTGTGTAGACATACGCAGACAATGTACATTTGCACGAGCATGATGGATGGAGAGTGCACGATTGCAGGCGGCGAATCACTCGAGCCGCAGATCGGTCTGGCTGCAGAACCCCACTCTCTTTACATGGCCCTGCTCATGATGCAAAGCCAGCTGCGCCCTTTCCGCTTCAGACTGAGCGACCTGCGCTTGCATACATCTACCCTCATGTCGCTACGCGCTCGCGAGCGGATGCCCCATCTTGGCGAGACACGCCCCAAACTCGCTCCACTCATACATGATCTCCGCCGCGCCCGCCTCGCTCAGCTTCTCCGCCGCGGCCTCCCGCTCTGCGGGCTGCAGCGCGCCGACATACCCGAGCGTCGCGATCCCCGCGCGCACCGCAGCGACGACGCCGCTCCGCGAATCCTCGACGGCGACACACTCCGCGGGCGGCACGCCCAGCTTCACCATTGCGTGGAGGTACACCGCGGGGTCGGGCTTGGAGCTGGGCACGGGGAGGGAGGACGCGGCCGAGTACACGCGCGGGCCGAAGAGTGCGGCGAGCCCCGCCGTCTGCAGGGACACGTGGACGCGGCGCGCGGCGCTCGAGCTTACGACGGCGAGCGTGGCGTGTGGCTGTGCGCGCGCGAGGGCGGCGGCGGCGCCGGGGGCGGGGAGGAGCGAGGTGCGCAGGAGCGCGAGGACGGTCTCGACTTCGGCGGTCGCGAGCACGTCCACGTCCGTGGGCGGGAGGGAGAGGCCGTGGTCCGCGGAGAGGGAGGCGAGGATGCCGCGGAAGTTTTGGCCGACGAAGCGCGATTCCAGCTCGGCGCCCGTGTAGGTTCGCGAGATGCCGTGTTGGGACAGGAGGCGGTTGATGAGCGTCGCGCACCCGGCGAAGGCGAGGTGCTCGGAGAGCACGAGTGTGTTGTCGCAGTCGATGAGAAGGGTCAGGGGGGGCTGCATGAGTGTGGCGAGCGGCAGGCTTACTTTGCTCATGGTCATGGTTGGAGGTTGGTGAGAGAGTTGGGTCACTGCATCACTGCCTCAAACGTATGCACATCTTATCTATATCTCGGTTGCCGTGGCAAGTGGCAGATGACGCACGCTGAAACGAGGCGCGTGACGTCGCATTCGTCGCGACAGCACCCCATTTTTACGAGGTACTCCTCGGAACTCCGTCGCCTCGACGCGCCCCAACGTACGCCCTATTCCTCCGCACACCGCACGACGTACAGTACAATGACATGCATGACTAACGGTGCTGAATGAACTATGCGGCGATCTGGAATGCGGGATGACTGGTGTGGCTAATGACAGACAAGCTGATTAAAGGAAAAGGGGAATACTGGAGAAACGAAGGACGTAAACGTAGCACTCATGCAAGCAGCGCCTGCCGCTCGGGGTCGTGATTGCCGTTCAGCTGTTTGGGCTTCGGGCGCGGAGTCCCCATGTCGCTGTGGTCACTGCGGTCGCTCTCCCACCCAGCGTGCGGGGAGCGGTAAATACGACTCGTGTCGCCACTGCGCTCCCCATCCCCCGGGCTCGAGCCGCACGCGCCCTCGTCAAAGCCGCTGCTGTCGTCGGCAAACTTGGCGTCATGCTCCAGCGGTCCGAGGCCCAAGCGCTGGCGGACCCGCTCCACTCCTTGGTCCCAGTTGGTGCGCCACACGATGGCCACTCCGATCGCCGAGCCGTAAAGCAGCGCGACCGCAAGGCCGATCCAGATGCCGACAAGCGACATGTGGTGACGAAAGGTAAGCCAGAGACCGAACGGGATGCCGACGCCGTAGTACGCTGTAAAGTTGACAATTGCGCCAATCGAGTGCAATGCCAGCGCCCGCATGATGGCGTTGGCAGCGCCACTCAAGCCATCCGTGACCTGGAACAGTCCCATCCAAGGCATGACCTCGGCGACCATGGCCACAACCTCGGGGTCGCCGTTGAACAGATAACCCCACTGGTGACGGAACACGACACAGATAAAGCTGTTGAAGAGGGCAAAGCCGGTGGCGAGGATGAACGCAGCGCGGGCGGCCCACTTGGCCTCCCAAGCCCTGCCTGCGCCGAGAAGATTGCCAACGCGCACCGAGGCGGCAACACCAAGCGCCGCTGGAAACTGGTAGAGGGTCGAGCACGTAGAGAGCAGCACCGACTGCGCTGCGAGGGCTGTTGAACCAAGAAGCGCAGCGGCAAGAGCACACACCTCCCAAGCCCACCACTCGGATGAGAGCTATCGTGTCAGCCGGTGCCAACACTCCAAACAACTGAACAAGAACTTACCATGACAGTACCCGCCAGACCCAGTTGCGTAACTGTGCCGAGCCTGGAGAAGATGTGGCGCAGGGAAAACGGGTGGAGCGAGTCGCGCGGTCCCCACCAGATCACGTAGACAAACAGCATGATGAAGGTGAGATTGAAGGAGAAGGCTGTCGCGACGGCGCCACCAATGAACCCGAGGCGCACGGGCTTGGGTCCCCAAACAAGAAGCCAGTTGAGCAGCACGTTCAGCGGCGCGACCACGAACAGCACGTAGGTCGGGATGTGCATAATGTTCTGGGACTGAAGGTATTTCTTGAGGACGACGTTGCCGGCGTACCCCGGAATGCCGATGGAGAGCCAAGCGAGGTATGTGCCGGCGAGCGACGCGACGTGCGGGTCTTGCCGGAGCCACAAGAGCACAACTTCAATGTTGAACCAGAGCACGAACATTGGGACCTGGCCGTCAGTGGTGCCGCACAACATTGCATTGACGACTCACCATCGCGACGATCATGACGACCGTGCACCGCATCGTCCACAAACCAACATGCCGCCGGTCTGCGCCGGTCCAAGCGGCAGGGAGCAGCGTGTCAAGGCTAGTAGCCAGCCCCTGCATGATGGAGAAACAGGTAACCGATGCGGTCATGTTTGCAAGACTGGACGCAGCGAGGTCCTTGGTGCCAAGATGCCCAATAGAGACGACGGAAGCGAGGGACAGCGAATACTCGGCGAGCTGGGTGAAGAAGACGGGGATGGTGCTGCGGATGAGGAGAGGGAGTTCGACACCGAGGGCGCTGCGCCAGGTTCGTACCTCATGGCCGCATGCATCGATGGGTAGGTCGAGGTCGGCAGCCTCGAGAGCGGTAGCGGGATCGTCTGACAGCGGCTCGCCAGGCTTGCTGGTGCCGGGAAGGTAGAGATTGGAGCGCGCGGCCAACCGCGCAGCAGCCTCCTCATCTTCCTCGAGCTGGTACAATGGGCGAAACGAGACGTGAGGTGAGATCGGGCGGCGGTCGGCGCTGCGTCCGCGGCCGCGGGTAGGCGGGCTCTGTGGCCGGCGCTCGCGGTCCCCCTCCGGCTCGCTCAAAACAGAGATGACACTTCCGTTGGCCTCGACGTTTGCGATCGCACTGGCGGAAGCCCCAGCTTCGAGGGCCGCCTGCCGCCGGGCCTTGGTCATAGGGCGGACGACGTGGCGTGGTGGAGTGCGCCCCTTGCTTCGTGAACGTGATGTGCCGGGAGGGGCGCCGGGGACTGGCATGGTTGTGAGGTCTGGAGCCTGGAGTGGTTCAGAATTGGCGACGGCGCCGTAGTCGGGACCTCGGGCACCGCGGCCTGTAAACGACACTCGCCGTGACCCGCGCCCACGGCCACTGTCTTCTGCGACACTCGAAGTTTCTGATGGTGCCTTGCCATCCTCGTCGATGTCGTGGGGGAAGATTTCCTCGCCGCCGACGCTTGCCTCGCTGTGTTCACGGTGGAGTTGGGGGATGGCGCCGGAGATGGAGGTGCGTTCGCCGCTCCATCTCAAGGGGCGGTAGGTAGCATTTGATGCTCGCCTACGCTGGATGAGGCTTTCGAGGTTGTTCTGGAGGGCTGGGGTTAGTGGGAGAGTGGAGAGAGGGCGTGCGATGCTGCGCCCTTGGTATAGTCACGGGGCACAAACACGGGAGGGAGCGATGGGACTCACTGTAAGGCGAAGTGGAGAGGGAGGTGGCGAGAGTGGAGTGCGGGAAGTTTGAGCTCATGGTGTTGGGGGGGGGGTTGGAAGTTGTGAGTTGTGAGCGGGGAGGGGAGGCTAGGGGGTGGGATGAGAGATGAGGGGATTCTTGGTCGTCTCGCAGAGGAGGCGAACGGGGAGTAGAGAGTGATGAGAGAGAAAGAGATGACGAGAGAGAGAGAGAGAGAAATGAAGAACGAGATGGAGATGAGAAGAGACGACGAGCGAGGAAATGTCATGGATGCGAATTCCTGCCCCATGCCCTCGTGTTAGTCTCAGGGATATACCTTGATGGGGGGGTAATCGCTATTTCCGCATTCAACTTGATCAATTCACAGTCGAGCATGGAGCACATCTATGTACACGAGTGTACACGAGTGTGCAGAGCGCCCTTGCAGCTATGCCCATGTTGAGGGCAGACCTCATGGGCGATTGGCCTGGTGGCCGCATGCATCGCCGTCAAAGTCTAGGGCTATACTTGGGCAGTCACCGCGCCGAGAGCAAAAACTGGGCGAGAGTCCCTGCCGACGTCCTGCCGTGGTGGCAGAGCAAGAGCTTGGGGATGTGCCTCGAAGAGCATGTGGCAGCTCGCGCAGATTCGACACGAGGCTCGGCGCGGAGAGAGTGTTGTGCATCGTGCAGCGCGTGCAGAAACACTCTGCACGAAGAGCGAGAGACGGAGGAGGAGGAGGAGGGAGAGCCGGAAGACGTGGCGATGACGTAATCCCGCCAGATGCCGTCCCCACGCGCCACGCGACATTTTATGCTTCAGGGGCCAAAGGCAGGGCAGGGGGGAGGCAGATCCTCCACGGTCAATTCCCTCTCTCTCTCCTCCGGCGCCCCGCCTGGCCCCTCGTCGCTCCCTCCGTCGTCGCCGTCGTCGCCGTCGTCCCCGTCGTTGCCATCGTTGCCATCGCCGTCCCCATCCTCCATCCTCCATCTACCATCCGCGCTGGCCCCCGCAAGCTATACACCAGTACATTGCATGTACAACCAGTAATCTGTCCTTGCAACTCCTCCGTACAAAGTACAACATGCTTGCTAGCTCACACGCTTCTGTCCATCAGCAAGGCGACGTCCGTCCCCAACCATTAGTCACTAGCCCGCACATCCCCTCACCACCACTCACGGGATTCTCAGGCCTGCCGTCAGCACCCAGCCCTCAACTCTTCCCACCGCCCGCCACTCACGCAGTCTTCCACATCTCCGCGACCTGCTTGAACCGCTTCTTGTGGTCGCCCTTGACGCCCGCCTTCTCGTCCGCCTCCTTGAGCTTGGCGAGCTGGACCTTGACGTATTGGTTGTACGGCGACATCTTCTTGCTTCCGCCCTTCTTGGCAGCTGGGTGTTGGGGGGGTGGGAGTAATGGCACGTTAGTGGATGAGGGTGGTGTAAGGAGGCGCGTCAGCTGTGCTCAGAGGTGGGCGCTGGCGCAACGTAACATACTCTTTGCTGGGGTTAGCGTGTATAGAGAATTGACGCGAGGCGCGTCTCGACGCGTCAGACGTACCGACCATGGTGGAGAGTTGGGGGTGGAGCGTGGAGCGTGGAGCGTGGAGCGGAGCAAAGTGGAGAGTGCGAGAGAAAAAGATAGATGAGAGATGAGATGGACGATGGATGAGGATGGGATGGCGGATGGCGGATGGAGTGGATGAAGACTGGGGGGTTGCTCGACGCGACCTTATATACCGGCGCGCGAAGCCCTGGGGTGGGCGAGTGGAGGTGGAGGCCGAGGCTCAAGCCGCAAGCATGCACACGCGTCTACTCGTACAGTCTTCGCATTGCTCTCACGTGCATGGCCTGCTGCATGCTCCTAGCCGCCTGGGCGTGTCTACGCAAGCCGTGGCCCCAATGAATTGGGCGATGCATGCTGCGCGCTGCGCTCCCGCATTGTTATGCGCGGACGCGACTTGTAGGCATGTTTGTTTGTCGCGAATCTCCCGAGGTAAACCCATCGTCTCATCCCCTCATGTCTCTCGGCATGCTTGCGTCTCCGCATCGCATTCATCTCAATGGGTCAATATGGATACAATAGGATCTATGCCGTCTGGCTCTATACTCTATCGGCCGCGGCCGTCTAAATCATGGCAAAGCCCAGCGCCAGCGCCACCGCGCCCACTGCCACACTAGCCCCGTCGCGCCGCGCCGCGCCGACCACCGCGTCCGCCTGTGCGCCGTCCGCGAACCGGCTCACATACGTCGGCGTCTCCGTCAAATGGCGCGGATTCGGGAGGTTGTTTCCGCTGGCATCAGCTCGATGAACAGCAACCCCACTCACTCCTTCTGGAACATGTACATCGGCTGCTTGGCGCCCGGCGTGCATTTCTCCGGCGCGCCCGCGCAGTCCTGTTCCGGCGGCACGGGCTGGGGGAGCATGGCAAACTTGTTCGTCTTGCCCGTAATCTTGCACTTGTACATGTTATTGTACTGGGGTCAGCCTCGGTACGCTACGCAGCCGACGGCAGCGCCGGCGCCACGCACAATCTCGTTCCCGTAGCCTTCGCCGTTCATACGCGTGTGGATCCAGTTCCACGTACAGATGCACCCGTCTTTCGGGCACGGCGGAAGGCCGGGCGGGATGCGGTACTCGACGAGCCGGAACCACGGGGACGTGTGGTTGACGCTGATGACGACCATGTCCTCGGGCTTGACCTTGTACGGGTCCGACTCGTACGCGATCGCGAGCGCGGTGCCGCCGAACCGCGAGACGTTGAGGCGCGCGTACGGCGTCCCGTACTCGTTGGCCGTGTGCAGCGGCCCGTGCTCCGGGCAGCAGTACTGCAGCAGCGGCTTGGCTTTGTAACTCCACTCTGGCGGGCGGTATTTCGTGAAGGCGCGGTTGCACCCGATCTCAAAGGTCGCCGTCTTGCCCGTTTCCAGCTCCATGAATGCGTCGGCGGCCGGCGTGCAGTTGCGCATGTTGTGGCCGAACCATTCGGAGACGGTCAGGTTGTCCATGCCCCGCGCAGGGTTGACGGGGTCCACTAGTTGTCCGTGCTGGATCGGCGCGTCGCCCAGATCGGGCCAGTTGAAGCCGTACAGCGATGGGTGCCAGAGCGTGAGGCTGGGGTTAGCGCATGAGACATGGAGGGTGGGAATGTTGGCGAGGCTGGTAGAGTATGTGGGGTCCTTGACAACGGCCACGGGGGCGCGCGCTCGTCTTGGACAGACATTGGTGGGCGCGGCCAACCAGGAAGTGCGGCGTTGGTCTCCAACATTGTCGCCGACAAAAGCCTACTCACTGTGCGTCCGCCACACACGCGAGGACGAACGATGCGAGCGCGAGCCGCATCGCGCGGGAGTTGGGGGTAGAGCCGGGGGTGGGGGGGTGGGGGGCCAAGGGAGAGTGGGAGGTTGCGGTCGACTGTTGTGCAAGGTCTCGACTCGTGGTTGCCTGGTGGTGTAGTTGATGTGAGAAAGACCAAGAGGCTGGTGCGAGCGAGATAAAGGCTTGGCGGTGATGACTTGGCGACAGTGACGGGATGAGATGACAAAGCAGAAACAGCAGACGAGACAAAACACAGGGGCGAGGACAATGAAGAGTGAAGAGACAGCGAGACAGCGAGACAGAGAGAAAGAGTGATGGCGGAGTGGCAATGTCTCATCAATCAATTGTCGCTCGATGACCATCCCCCAGAGCTGGATGAGACGGACTCGGCGGACTCGGCAACAGGGCCGATGAATTCAGGACACAGGAACGTGGGAAGTGCTGTGCACTTGGCGCCGCCGCCGACCCTCTGCCCGTCGGCGCTCTCTTTCGCTCAGCATGCATGACGAATGTCCGTGTCCGTTCTGGTTCTGGTTCTGGTTCTGGTTCTGCGGGCCAGTCGCCAGACGCCAGACGTGAGGCGGGATACAGGGCCGAGGAATCGGGGTGCGCCACCGGCGGGACATGAGGCTGATACAATTCATTCATATCGGGGGCGCTCGACGCGTCGGCTGAACCGTTTGGTCCAACGGTTGTACTCTGTCAGCGCTTGGGCTTGGGCGTGTATGCGGCCTGGCAGCTGGCGGTCCAAGATGGGCATGCATCAGCTGTGGAACGGTGTGGTACTTGTGAGCTCCCGCCAGATCGAAAGTGAACTGCGCACCTGGCTGGGCTGGACACGCTTCCCGCTGCGTCTTGGGTCGTCATGCGGGAGGACGGCCACCTTGGATCCTGGGTTGACCTGCGTCGTCGTCGTCGTCGACAAGGGTTTGCTGCGTCGTGCGTTTCTTTCCTCGTGTCTCTCTCGTCGTCCCGCTGCGTAGTCGCCATCGCCTTGACGTTGGTACCCAAAGCTAAACCTAAGCTCAATGCATCCGAGATATTCAAGGACATGTGACTGGGCTGGGCTGGGTCATATGGATGTCTCGTAGCTCTCGTAGCTCTCATCCCGTTATGCTCGCTCTTCCCGCGCCACGCTCTCATTCTCTAAGCAGAGTTTAATGGATTATTCAACGTATTCAGCATGTCGCCTGCTAAAGTCTCAACGGCATCAGCTGCCTATAGCCTGCTCACTCGCACAGCACTCGCACAGCAGCACTCACACAAACTCTTTTCCTCCCCGGCATCGCCCAAATTCTATAACGTCCAGCTCTGCCCTGCTCAGCTCGGCTCATATGCAATGTTAGCACAACACCCCCACCCCTCGGACCAGAGTTTACATGCAGCGGGATACACAAAGACTTTACTCTATAACCAACCACCTGTGATGATGACGCCCACGGACAGGCGAGGTGGTAGCACACAAATCGCCCACCTCACGACAGGTTGAACGACCCCTGTCCGTCCTTCATCGACCGCATCAGCTGCGAAGACAGGACAGCCCGAGACGAGTAGTTGGGCAGCTTCAGATACGTCGCGCACGTCATGACTGAGTATATCAGCACTATCCCAACGCAAAACGTACCAGACGGAAGGTAGTCATCAGCCTTGAACGGCGCCTCATGCGGCTTTCGCACCACCGTAAACTGCGGGTTCAGACCCTTGAATCCCCCCAGAGGCAGCTTCGGTGCCCCAGTCATAAACTGCAGGAAGGCGCGACGCTCCTCCTTCGAGTACGAGGTCATCACGTCGATGAGGTCACGCACGACGCGACTGTCAGAGTTGTACCCGTGGTCGGCCTTGATAGCCTGCTCAAGAGCTGCATGTTAGTCAATGTACTCTCTCAAGCTCTCAAGGGCTAAGAACAGCGCATGTACTCACTCTCCTGAGACCAGTCCTCCTCCGCGTTGCCACACAACAGCGCGAGCTCGTCCGGCGAGAAGATCTGCAAGTCGACAACCGGGAAGATGGAAGAAAAGCCTTCCTGGAATGCCTGCAGCTGGTGGTGTACACCCGAGCCCAGCGTGAGGTCCAGCACGAGCTCAATGTACTCGCCCAGGTTGGAGTCGTCGACGTCTATGCTCCTGCCGCCAGACTTCAACTCAATGTCATAGCCAGGAAGGGTAAAGTCCAGTGAGAGGTCGTGCAGTTTGGCACCGCCAATGGTAAGGGCTGCCAGCTTGCTGCGGCGTGTGGAAGGAGGAAGAGCGGCAAGACCCTCAATCTCCTGACGCGCTTGCTGATACGACTGTAGCCGTTCAAGCGAGCGAGCCAGCGGTGCGTCCACCAACTTGAGCGTTGCGATCGACTTCTTGACCGGCTTGTTCAGCACCATCTTGAGGAACACGCGGTTAAAGTTGAGGTCGATGATACGCGAGTCCAGCATCGCGCGGCCGACGAAAACACCTAGCGTTTTAAAGTACGACAAGCGCTGACTGTCTCTGCCCGCCTCGTCCTTTTTGAGAGGAGCTGGGAAGAGGCCGTGGGGATGCCACACATGGGATCCCTCATGCGACTCGTCTTCGTCACGCCAAAGCTTAAGTGACCGGCGAGCAAACTCCTTGGACGCTAGGGCATAGAACTCGAGGGTTGGGCCAAGTCCCGTGCCGATCTCGTCAAAGTACTCGACCTCGAGGATACCGTCGGCCTTTCCGTACAACTCAAGGACCTTGACGCATGACTCGAGCAGCTGCGCCCGAGAGATACGGACCTTCTGGCGACTCAGACGCGATACGAGCGGAAGACCTTCGTCTCGGCGGCTACTGCTGCTGTTGCGAGGTTGAGAGGCCTGCCAATGTGCGATTAGGCGTCCGTAACCGAACGACGTCGAGCGCAGGAATGCGTACCGCACCTCAAATGGGAACAGGAAGGCAAAGAACTTGGGCAGCTCCTCGGCCCATTCTGGCAGGCATCCGCTGGCGATTATCATGGTTTCTTCGAGTTGGCGGGTAAGCTTGGCAGTGAGCTTGTTGTTGACGAACAGAGATTCGTCGAGAGCCGCGGCGCGGCCTGCCATACTGTCGCGGCGGTCCGTGCAGAGGTTGTGAACAACACGCAGCAGACGCAGGATTTGGGACACCTGCTGATCGGACTCGACAACATCTGGCATCAAGCTTGTAGTCGTGGCAGGGGACGGCGCGTCGAGAGTCGACTGCGGCTCTTCATCCTTGGGAAGAGGTCCGTCCACCTTGCGGAACTTGAAGGTGACGGGGAGGGCAAATACATTGCCGGGCACAGGCGAGCTCTTGGCGTACTTGTGGACAGCGCCGTAGATGGTGTCTGTGGGTCGCAGCGTCTGGCCGTCGACAGAAAACTCAAGATGCCAGTCCACTGGGGCAGTTTTGACGGCCCCAGCATACGATCCGGTACGAGTGGGTGTACCCGATGAGCCGGCCCCGGCGCTCTCCGCAGCAGCCTGGTTAGGTGTCGCGATACGTGTGCCGTCAGGCGTCTTGGCCTCCACTCTAGATCCGTCTTGCGCGTTAGCATGGCTTTGCCATGTAAGCTCACCGGGTGCCACCGACATGTTCACGACCTTCTCCGAGGGGCGACGAGCAGCGAGCTCCTCCTCCATCTCTTCCTCAAATACCTCGGCGTCATAATCATCCTCAGAGAAGTCTTCAAAGTCCAGGTCCATCGGCATATGAGGCAGGAAACCTGGCGGAGAGGCGTTGGTTGACGCTTGCGGGGCGCTGGTGGGAGGAGCAGAGGTGGAAGGACCCTCACCAGTGCTCTCAGTCTCAGCTGGTCGTCCGCTGAGACGTGCGCTGCGCCGCCGTGGCTGCTTGGCCCCGGCTCCCTCCTTGCTTTCAGTTGGCTCTGGGACGGCTGCCTTGGTGGAAGATTCCTGAGCCGGTGTCGCCTCGCCACCTAGCAGGGGGCGACTGCCAGGCAGGCCAGACTGCCCGGGAGGTCCAGCCGCCAAGGCCGCAAGGAGTCGCTCAGTCGACGACCCAACTGCACCTCCTCTGCTCGCGGCATAGGCGGCGAACATGCTTTGGAGGGTTGATCCCCCTCCAAGCGTAAGAGGGTCGTTGATGCGAGGCCGAAGGTAGTCGTGCAGGGCTCTCACCGGCGCGATCGCTTGAATCGTGACGCTGAGTGAGCTCATGGCCTTGGGGATATCCTCCCCCTCCTCGGCCTGTAGTCGGATACGCATGGTGCGGCCAAGCGAGTTGGATGAGCCACCCATGCCGTTGAACGCCGTCTCTACTTCGAACGACTCCAGGCGGCCCAACGACTCGTGGAGCCGCTTGACAAGTGTTGCCAAGGGGGAGGGTGTGAATGCGCTATCGGAGAACGTGTCGTAAAGCATAGCCCGGCGCTCGTTGGAAGGCACAGATCCGTCAATGTCGACATATCGGAGAAGGCCAGCAACAAGGCCACTCTTGAGAAGCTCAAAGCTAGAAAGCGACTGGCCCACGTTGGTGAACTGAGATGCAATCTCGCGAAGAGTGTCACGGATCTCTCCCTCTGTAGCCTCGGGGACGCACAGGCGGTCCACAAGCTTACGAAGCTCGTCCAATACCAGAGCAGCCTCATCATGCTTGTCACCAGCCACTGCAAACAAACTTTTGGCGATGATGATTCGCGCCCGGATGATGTTGGCATCGTAGGGATCAATGCCGGAAGACTTGCGAGGAAGTGGAGATGAGAGCACTTCGCCCAAGAGGCCAGAAATGGCGCCAGGGTTATCCCCAGTCCGCGTCGCCGACTGGCCTGGTGGGCAGGCCCGAGGCGTTGATGGCTCGCTCGACTTGACTGGTGTTGTGGTGTCGTCCTTTGTGTCAGACAGCGTCTCCTCAGCCTTCGCCTCTGCAGCCTTTTCCGAGCCCGTCTGCTCCTTCGCCAGTGACTCGATCTCGTAAACCACGCCTTCGCGAAGGAATGAGGTGAGGTACACGGCGGGCAGCTTGTTCACAAGTACCTCGACCAACTGGAGCGCGTTTAGCACGAATGCGGCATTGTCCTTGGCCGAGATGATTGAACCAAGGAAGCTCGACATGGGAACTGAGGTGAGGGCGGGCTGAAGGTCATCCGGCTCGGCGAACGCGGTTGCCTTGAGAATACCAGTGAGGGCCTTCGTACGAACGCGCGAGCTGACAGAGGCAGCGTAGACGTCAACAAGAACAGGTACGAGAGCGCGCATAAACTTGGAGACGAGGTCAGGCTGCGACTTCATGAGCCTCAAGCGCTCTTCGTATTGGGCCTCGGCGTCGCGCTTTGTCTTGAGGTTGAATGCGGCCAGCGTAGACAACGGTGAGTCCTGAGCACTGGCTACGACGTCGGCTGACGGAGTACTCGGTCCACTTGACGACGCGGAAGCATCTCCAGCCCGATTGCTGGCCTGGCGGCGAGGGCGCTCGCGCTCAGGACGTCCGCCACGCCTCTTGATCTTTGCCAGACTCTTCTCCGTGTAGGCGCGCGAGTCGAAAACACCGTCACGAGGCATGGGGGGCAGAAGCTCGCAAACAAGGCCAAGCGCCTCCTCGACCTGGTCCTTTGGGCGGTGGGCCAGGTTCTGCATGATGACCATGTCGGCCACACCGCCGCCCAAGCTCTGCCCGCCAGGGGCGTCACCCTGTTCGGTTTCCTCGTGCGATGAGGGAAGAACACCAGTCAGAATGTAGTGGACTGTGCTAGTCATGCCAGCCTCCAAGAATGCAATTGTGACCTTGGCAGAGGCGCGAGCCGCCGCTGAGAGCGCCTTGAGAAGGTGGGTGTAGGTGGTGTCAGATATGATCGGAGAGCCGCCCGATGGCGTTAGGAGAGCGTTGATTGCGACAACAGTTTCGAGGTCCAAAAGGCCCTCCAAGTTCTCCGCGCTGTGTCGATATGACTCCAGGGAACGAACCACGGCGAGTGTGGCTTGCTCGACCAGTCGCTGGTCCGACTGCGTCAAAACCTCGCGAAGGATGGGGAACACCTCGCGGACCATGGCGAAGTAGTCACCTGACACGTTGCGGCAACAGTTGGCAGCAGCAGTGACTGCAGTGCGCTGTACATTGGTCGAGAAGAACGGTAAAAAGTTGAGTAGCGCACCCAGGCCGCCCTCGCGAACGATCGCGCCCGGGTACTCGGCCGAAATCTTCTCCATCGTCTTCGGGTTAGCACAAAGGGTATGTGGGACTTGACCTACACTCAGAGTCTGCTCTGCAAGCTCAATATACGAGATCTCGTTGAGCTTGGAACACAGCGCCTTCACAGCACCAAGGTGGACTAGCGTGTGGCCTGATCCGGGAAGCGCTTCCATGAGGTGGGCCAGACAGCGACACGCGAGCAGCTGGGCCTCCATTTCTTCCTGCTCGCCACCAGGCATAAATCCTCCCGTGCTCATAGCAAGAGCAGCAGCCAGTTGAGCATCCTCGTCCATCGCAGCGTCCATGTCCATTTTTGAGCTGTCGGTTTCGGCGGTGGGGTCAATGTTGGGCCTGCCGTTAAGAATGGCGATAAACTCGGTAGCAAATGAATTGACTGAGAAGGCGGCGCCGAGGGTGTCTTCGTTGCTAACCAAAAGCAGATCGCTGCATTCTCGTAGAGCTTGCAGACGGACAGCACCTTTCGGAGACCGGAGATTGGCTTTGAGACGCTTGAAGCGGTTGGAAAGACCCGACATCATACCGCCAAAGCCACGGAATTCGCCACCAAAGAGGGCAGCGGCGGTTGCATCGTCGAAGAGTGCACGGTCCGCAAGGCGAGCTAGACGCTCGTAGGCGGAGCTGCCTCGAGCATTCAGACCAAGCCCTCCGTCAATGTCATCTTCGTGATCATCTTCATGATCCGAATGTTCCATGTCTTCATCGTCGTCAAAGTGGTCGGAATCGAGGAGACCACCACCAGCACGGTGAGAGCCGCCCGCCTCGTCCCAGCGTGACGCATCGTCTTCCATCTGCTCGTCAAGCAATTGTCTAGCGGCTGTGATGTCAGGGGAATGCAAAGGAGGGGTGAGACGGGGGGGCGCTCCCTGTGCCACTCACAGCTGTCGCCCTTCTTCGATCTGTCAGAGGAAAGTCCGCCGCCCTTCTTCATCGTCGACCTGGGGCAAGTCAGCAATCATTTCGCGCCTTGAACACTCACTTCTTGGATTCGGACTTCTTGGTAGCCTTAGATTGCCCTTTAATCGAACGAGGCTTGGGAATGGACTTGGCTCGTTTGGCTTGGGGAGGGGGCTCGTCAGTAGCGGGTGAGGGTTCGCGGGGGGCACGCTTCTTGCCCTTGGGATCAGAGGACGTGGTGGGTGTCGCGTCGGGGTTCAGCAACGTCGCAGAGTAGCGAGAGCTGCAGAATGGTCAGTAAACAGCAACAGGACACCTCATGGCCGGGGGAAGTGGCGAAAGACACGCCAGCCCATTGATGTGGAGGGGCACGGGGCAGCAGCTGCATGACCCACTGGGTGTAGGTGCTTTACTCACCGACGGGCTACACCAGAGGAAGCGGAAGGTTGGTCTGCTTGAGCTTTGCCCTTGCCACTAGGGGTGCTGGAAGCGGAGGAGGCCGTGTTGTCGCTTTGGTCAGAGTAGGCGATGGACAAGCGAGCTGAGCGGCGAGGGCCCGGAGTAGGAAGAGTCGGAGGAGGAGGAGGAGGAGGAGGGTTGGAGGAAGAAGAAGAGGAGGGTGATGGGTCGCTCTTTTTGTTGGAAGAGCGAGTGAGGCGGACAGGTGACAGAGACTGGGGCTGCTGGAGGGTGATGTGACCTGGGGGGAGGATTGACGAATCGACAGCGAGTTGAGAGGTTGAGGAGGTGGCGAGGGGTGGTGCAGTGGGTGCGAGTGCGAGCGTTGTGGGTGGAGGGGGAGGTGCAGGTACAGAATTAGGTCTCGGGGTGTGTCGATTACGTTTAGAAGAACGAGGAGATGGCTGTTCCATGGAGAGGTCTTGGTGGTGGCCAGCTGGTTCGAGGTCGCCGGGTCGCGGGAGGTTGGCGTTGTTTGGAAGGGTGAGATGAGAGTGAGATGTGGTGGGTGCAACGAGTGATGGAGAGGAGAGAAAGGGGATGAGAGAATGAGAGAATGAGAAGAAGAGAAAGAGATGATGGAGATGAAGATGAACGAGTGGGAGGTGTGTGCCTCCAACTAGCTCGAGATCCTCACTCGATGCGCGTCACAAACGTCACAGCGTGTCACAGCGCGCGTCAGCACCTGGTGTGACGGCGTGGCGATGTCTGGTGCCAGCGCAGCCGTGTGTGTGTGTGGGTGTGTGTGGCTATTGGGGATGACCGAGGTAGCGAGGGGGCCAGGTGTGATAGTGAGGGCGAGGAGGAGGTCACTAGAGAAGACTGGGACGACGACGTGAGAGATCGTGAGAGATACTCCATCCTCCTCTTGCTGATTGTTAATCGATCCCACCCCACTTGTATAGCTTGTATGCAGGCCTAATTCAATTCCTAATAACAAGTGCCCTATCGCCACCCTGGAGCCCCAGTACAACTTTCCAACTCGAGTGTCGACTCAGACTTGGATAGCGAGCTGGCCACATTTATACCCCAACCTCTCTTTCTCTCACTCACTCTTCCCAAGAACATCTCGGCTCCACCGACGGCCATGGTCGTCGACGCTCGCCACGATTCGTGCACGGCAGACATGCCCTCCTCCTCACAATTCCCCGCCCTCGTTCCAGACCTCCTCACCGCCCTTCGAGCACTCAGAGTGGCAAACCCAAAAGCCACCCGCTCAACTGTCCACATCTACCCCGCCACTCTCTTTGCCAAGAATGCTGCCACAGCTAAAGACCGCCAGATCACAAGCTGGAAGATGACCGAGCACATGTACTTCAAGAAGGACAACGAGTTCCCCACTCTGGCTCGAGGCCTCTTCACTGAAGTCGTCAATGGCAAAGCCCAAGTGCCCCCAGCTGCCTTGCCAACCTTCGGACCCGGTCCGGTCAAGGAGCGTATTGTCGCAAGGGGGTATGACAAGTTTTTCAACACTGGCGAGATGGCTTGGACGAGCGTGAGTCTGAGCATCGAGCAACTCGAGCACTCGAGCGCGTGACTGACCTTCTTCAGTGGGAGGCGATTGAGAAACACTCCGAGCCTCCCTACCACCTCACTCTCAAGTCTAACGGCTGCCTAATCCTCATCTCGGCTCTATCCCCAACAGAGCTGCTGGTCGCATCCAAGCACTCGCTGGGCACCACCACCGAGACCAGCTTGCGCGACGTCGAGACCCAACTCAACAATGTCAAACTCGACACCCCCTCCGAGGCCGCAACGCCCGCCGAGCCTTCCTCAAAAGCCCACGCCGAGGTCGGGCGCGAGTGGGTTGCGCGAACATTGCAGCGTAGTGGAAAGACTACAGACGAGCTCGCCAAGAGGCTGTGGGACGAGAACCTCACCGCGGTCCTAGAGGTGAGTCCGCTCGTTGAAGCGCACAGTCTTACCCCTAGCTCTGCGACGATTCCTTTGAAGAACACGTTATCGCGACGCCCGAGTACTGGACCGGCCTTCACCTTCACGGTCTCAACTACAACACCCCGCTCTTTGCCACCAAGTCGCCAGACGACGTCGCAGCCTTTGCCGAAGAGTTCGGCTTCATCCCTACCAAGCACATCACCCTCACCTCTGTGCCCGAGGTCAAGGCCTTCACCGATGAGGTCGCCAAGAGCGGCTCTTGGGAAGGGGAAATGATTGAGGGTTTTGTTGTCCGTGCCACGGTCAAGGACACGCCCAAGACTGCGTCCAGCCCGCCATATCTTCCCGGCGCTCCATTCTTCTTCAAGGTCAAGTTTGAAGAACCTTACCTGCTCTACCGCCAGTTCCGCGAGACAACCCGAGCCATGCTCCCACTTCTTGACAAGATCAGCCCGGAGAAGGAGGCCGACCTCTGGAAGAAGATTCGATCTCGGACACGGCGGCCAGAGGTCGGTGTATATGCCGAGTGGTGCGGACGGAAGATGAAGGAAGCCCCGGGGCTCTTCAAGAACTACGAGCGCGGAGTGGTCCGTGTCCGTGAGGTGTTCCTCAAGTGGATTGAGGGAGAGGGCAAGGCGGCGTGGGAGTCAGCTAAGAACGGGACGTGGAAGGCCCAGTCAGCCATCGCCGCCGAGACTGCCAAGGCGGTCAAAGACGCGTCTCGCGCGGGTTTGCCCAAGAAGTGGATTCTCGTTCCCGTGGCTGTACCGGGATGCGGCAAGACCACCGTCGGGACGGCCCTTGCCGATCTGTTCGGCTTTGCCCACACCCAAAGCGACGACATCGTGTCGAAGAAGAGCACGGCGGGCAAGTTCAAGCAGAACATTGTCGAGCTGTTGAAGACGCACAATGTCGTCTACGCCGACCGGTAAGCCAGGTTCTGGGCGGGGCTAACATCAGTAACAACCACATTGACAAGCATTACACTGAGCTCGCCGGATTGCCCGATGAGAAGCAGTTCGCGAAAGCGCTCAAGCCCTACGACGTTCGACTCGTCGCCATCGTCTGGGACATTGATGCGCAGCCATATCACCGCCTTCTTCGCCTCTGCTCAGAACGAGTAGTCAAGCGCGGCGATAACCATCAGACTCTCCGCCCTGATCGGACGGTTGACGCCGAGCACGAGGCCGTGGTTGCCAACTTCCTTCACAACTTTACCACGCCAGATGCTTCGCTCTTCGACAAGCAGATCGTTATCGGCATTGAAGACGACCAGCGCACCTCATTGGGCAAGGCCGTCGATGGGGTCGTGGAGGTGTTGGGATTGAAGCGTCCATCGGAGGAAGAAATCGATGCGGCATTGGCAGCGGCACAGGCATACAAGGTGACCACGCCGTTCCACGGCATGACGCGCATGGGCAAGCCTGTACGCTACTTTGGCCTCGCCCCCGAGATCGACATTGACGAGGTGGTGGGAGACGCACTCCGGAGCCCTATGCCTGCAGCGGCTGCCGAGTCTGCCACCGCGTTCATCAAGTCTCTCCGCGAGAAGCAGCGCATCACCGCCCGGCCTCACATCACCCTGTCGCACGAGAAGAATGTCAAGGCTGAGCAGGACGCCGCCGGGGAGGGTGCAGCTCCCGGGCCCCACGCCAAGGCTTGGGCCACGTGCAAGACGCTTGCGGAGAAGGGCATCGCGCCGATTTACGAGTTTGACGTGACGCACCTTGCGTGGGACGATCGGGTGATGGCGCTCGTGGTCAGCAACATCCGGCCGCAGGGTGAGACCGAGAAGGAGCGCGACGACCAGCGCGAGGCGGGTCTGGAACTGGTCCTGCCGGAAGAGGTCCAGATGAACCTGCACGTGACGGTTGGCACGCAGTCGGAGACGATCTCTGCGTTCGAGTCGCGCAGTGTCGTGCGCGCTGCGCGGGAAGCGATCGCCAGAGGGCAGGGGACAGGCGAGGGCGGCGAGGCGGTCGAGGGCGGCGGAGCAGTGCATTGGGTGGCGGTTGGGCCACTGAGTGGGACAGGCCGCATCCGGGGCATGTATTGAGGCAAGCAGCATGTGCATTGGGCCATCCAGAGATACCATTCATCATCGATCACTTCTTGTTATGCATCTATACGCATCTTGTACTGCTTGCGCTGAAGAGGAGAGGTTGTGCCACGGACGGAGTTTGACAATAGCGGGGTCAGATTGACCACGTGGGTGGTGGAGGTCGCTGGAGCTTCCACCGTGGCGCGGCATTGAACGCGTGGGGGGGATGGGCTGGATCGCTTCGAGTGACGACGTGTGGACGCTCGACGCTAGCACAGACACTCTCTTCAACGTCGTCAAGCCCTCCTCCTCCGCCCCGCCTCTCCTAGCACCCCTCTCCCCCTCCTCTCTCCCACTCCCGACCCTATAAAGCGCGCCCCGACCGCCATTCAAAACCCCCGCTGCCATGTCCTCCTTTAAGAAGGACGACGAGGCAGGCGTCATGTGTAAGTGCTTGTTCTCTCACTCCTCACTTCCCTCGCCCGCTCCCAAACATCTCCCTCTTCATGTTGTTGGGCCGTCTCAATCGCATTCTCGTGCCTCCAGAGTCTCCACGCGGCGCGCGTCCGCACTCGCACTCGTACTCGCACTCGCGCCCCCAAACACCCCGCCGATACTATCACAGACGGTCACTGACAGGCTCCGCAGCATTCCACCATGACAAGAGCACCGTCCTGCAAGAGGCGCGCGTCTTCAACGAGTCGCCCATCTCGCCGCGCAAATGCCGTGCTCTCCTCACCCGCATCGTCTACCTCCTCTATGTCGGCGAGACATTTTCCACCCACGAGGCCACTACCCTCTTCTTCGGCGTGACCAAGCTCTTCCAGCACAAGGATGTAGGTTCTAGTTGACGGCTCGACAGCTACACGTGCAGCAGCCGCTGACCTCTAGACCGCGTTGCGACAGATGGTCTACCTTGTTATCAAGGAGCTGTCCAGCATCGCCGAGGACGTGATCATGGTCACGTCGTCAATCATGAAGGACATGCAGCCAAACCTCGAGGTTGTGTACCGGCCGAACGCGATCCGCGCACTGGCGCGCATCATCGACGCGCAGACAGTGCAGTCGTTTGAGCGCTTCTTCAAGTCGGCGCTGGTCGACCGGTCGCCGCCCGTGTCTTCTGCATCCATCACCTCGGCATACCACCTCTTCCCCATCGCCGGCGGCGTCATCAAGCGCTGGAGCAACGAGGCGCAGGAGGCTGTCAATGCCAAGGCCGTCTCATCGTCGTCATACACGCCCTCGATGGCCGCGGCGTACATCTCGGGCGGCGGCTCCAACGGGTATCAGAGCGTGTCCAGCTCGAGCTACATCATGCAGTACCACGCGCTCGGCCTGCTCTACCTCATGCGCGAGAAGGACCGCATGGCCGTCACCAAGATGGTGCAGCAGTTTGGCGCGGGCAAGTCGGCCACGGTCGTGCGTAACCCCATGGCTATCTGCATGCTCGTCCGCTTCGCACGCAAGATCATGGACGAGGACCCCAACGTCCAGAAGCAGATGCACGAGTATCTCGAGGGCCTTCTGCGCCACAAGTCGGACATGGTCAACATCGAGGCCGCGCGCGCCATTTGCGAGATGCGCAGCGTCACCAGCGCCGAGCTGTACCGCCCCGTCGCCGTGCTCCAGCTCTTCCTCTCGTCGCCCAAGCCCGTGCTCAAGTTTGCTGCTGTCAAAACGCTCAGCAAGCTGGCACAGACTCACCCCGACGCCGTGACCAGCTGCAACCTCGATCTCGAGAACCTCATCTCGGACTCGAACCGCAGCATCGCGACGTACGCCATCACGACGCTGCTCAAGACGGGCAACGAGGCGAGCGTCGACCGCTTGATGAAGCAGATCTCGTCGTTCATGACCGACATCACGGACGAGTTCAAGATCATTGTCGTCGACGCCATCCGCTCGCTCTGCCTCAAGTTCCCCACCAAGCAGGCTGTCATGCTCACCTTCCTCTCCGGCGTCCTGCGCGACGAAGGCGGCTACGACTTCAAGCTCGCCGTCGTCGACGCCATCTTCGACATGATCAAGTACATCCAGGACTCGCGCGAGGCCGCCCTCTCCCACTTGTGCGAGTTCATCGAGGACTGCGAGTTCACCAAGCTGTCGGTGCGCATCCTCCACCTCCTCGGCATCGAGGGCCCCAAGACGCGCAACCCCACAAAGTACATCCGCTACATCTACAACCGTGTGGTGCTTGAGAACGCCGTTGTGCGCGCGGCTGCCGTGTCGTCGCTCGCCAAGTTTGGGGTGTCGGCCAACGACACGACGGTGGTCAAGAGCATCGGTGTCCTTCTCCGCCGCTGCCTTGACGACGTGGACGACGAGGTCCGCGACCGCGCCGCCATGTACCTCAAGGTGATCGAGGACAAGCAGCTTGCCGACGCCTATGTGCGCGAGGGTGAGTTTGGCTCGTCTCGTTTCATGGCGTTTTGCTGACGTTTCCCAGAAGCTGTGTGGTCGCTAAGCGCCCTGGAGAGCTCGCTTCTGTCGTACATCAAGGACGACAGCAAGCACGCGCAGGCTTTCGATGTCGCGTCAGTGCCCAAGATCAGCCGCGACCAGGCGGCCGCCGAGGTCTCGCAGAGGCCATCAGCGCTCCAGACGATTGCTTCGAGCTCGGCCGCGCCAGCCCAGTCCTCGACCCCGCAGCCCACCGCAGCCGAGACTGCGTCCAGCTACGCCGAGCAGCTGGCCGCAGTGCCCGAGTTTGCGAGCTACGGTCCTGTGCTCAAGTCGTCGGTCAAGCCTGTCGAGCTCACCGAAAGTGAGACCGAGTACGCCGTGTCGGCCGTCAAGCACATTTTCAAGGAACACATCGTGTTCCAGTTCAACGCGGCCAACACGATCCCCGACACGGTGCTCGAGCAGGTGTCGGTTATCATGGTGCCGGCCGAGGAGGAGACGGGCCTCACCGAGGACTTTATCATCCCCGTGCCGTCGCTGACAACGTCGACGGGCGCCGGGCAGGTGTATGTCTCGTTCACGCGCGACGATCCGGCCGAGTACCAGACCGCGACGTACAGCTGCACGCTCAAGTTTGTGTCGAAGGAGGTGGACCCGACGAGCGGGGAGCCCGAAGAGGAGGGCTACGACGACGAGTACCAAGTCGAAGACTTGGACCTGGGCGCGGGCGACTACATCGTGCCGACGTACGTGACGTTCGCGAGCGAGTGGGACAAGCTCGCGACGGCGCCGAGCGTGACCGAGTCGTTTGCGCTGTCCGGCTCCGAGTCGCTGCGCGACGCCGTCAAAAGCCTCATCGAAGTGCTCAACATGGAGGCGCTGGGCGGCACCGAGGCGCCGACGTCGACGTCGGTCCACACGCTCAATATGAGCGGCATGGTAGCCGGCGGCGGCGGCAAGGTGCTCGCGCGCTGCCGCATGACTTATGCGTCGGGGCAGGGCGTCACCCTCGAATTGGCGGTGCGCGCGGAGAAGGAGGAGGCGACACGGCTCGTCATGGCTGCTATTTAGCTGTTTGTAGGAATGCACGTTAGATTTCGGGTGCAGAGGCCGCGGTCAGGTGCTGTTCCAACCACAGGCCGGAATCAGACGTGCCGTTCGACCACGGGACTGAGCAAATGCATAATCTAGCCGAGGTACGAGCGGATGACCTCGATGCCGGCGGCGCGGCGGCGCATGCTGATCGAGTGGTTCATCCCGAGCGCCCACTCCGCGGTGGACGCCGTAAACTTGACGCCGCTCCCCTGCGGCCTGGGCGGGGTGAAGAGCGCATACTCGCCCGCCACACGCAGCATATCCGCGCGCGACGCTACCATCAGCCCCTGTGCATTCCCGGACTCACCCTCAGCCCGCTCCATGCCCTTGGCCCATACCGACGCGGCGGGCTCGCGCGCGCGCGCCCCGCGCGCCAACAACGGCGCGGTGCCGAACAGCGCCGCCGCACTCGTGTCCCGCGCCACAGGCTCCAGCCGCATCTGCACCGGCGCAGCGGCAGCGAAGCGCGTGCGCCGCCCCTCGCCCGCCCGCGACCCGTCCCCGGCCACCGGGACGCCGCGGCCCTTGCTCTCGCGCGGCTTGCGCGGCGCCGCGCGCCGCGGCGCGTCCGGCCGCGTGAACTTGCGCGCAAGTTCCGCGCCCTCGAAAAACTCGGAGGAGACCGCGGAGAGGTTCGTGCGCGGCTGCTGCGCGCGGTCGGCGCGAGGCGCGGCGCGGTCGGCGCGAGCGACGGACGGACGGTCGCCGCGAGACGCACCCGCACGGTCGCCGCGAGACGCACCCGCACGGTCGCCACGGGGACGGTCGGTGCGCGCGGCGTCGGTGCGCGGGCCGGTGGCACGCTCGGCGCGCCGCTCGCGCCCGGCTGCGCCCGGCAGGTTTTGGTACGACGACTTGGGGATCTGGAGCGCCGGGAGGGTGCGCGTGCGCTTCGGCTGCGCCGTGAAGCCGAGCGACGTTTTGGCGGCGCCCTCGGCACCAGCGCTGGCGCCGGCGGCGTCGAGCGCGGCGCGCGTCGTGTGCAGTCCGCGAAGCAGGATGCGGGACGCCATTGTGTGTGGTGTGGACACGGAGTAACGGCCTCAGTCACAAGACGAGGGACATTTCGGAGCGGAGGGGGATTAAAGGGAGGAAAAGTGGAAAATATGCCACGTGACATGTCAATCTTGGATCTTCGACCGCTTGTTGACGAGTTCTTCGTCGAATTGCTGACTTGACCACACGCCAGCTCTGGCGATATACCCCTCTCGGCACCCCAGCATGTCCACAGAAGACTACGACGAGTTCGGCAACTACATCGGCGGCGACCTCGACTCTGACGACGACTCGGATGTCGATATCGCCCCCGCCGTGCCGTCGGCCCCTGGGCCAGCCGGGCCCAGTGGGAGCTATGCCCCTCTCGAGGGCTTTGATGACGAGGACCAGGACGCAGACGAGCCGATGGACGAGGACGAAGACACAGGCATGCAGATGACGCTGCACGGCGTCGACGGCACCGCAGGCAACCAGGTCGTGCTGCACGAGGACAAGAAGTATTATGCGACCGCAGAGGAGACGTACGGCCCAGACGTCGAGGCGATGGTGCAGGAGGAGGACACGCAACTCCTTACCGAGCCCATCGTACAGCCTGTCAAGGTCCGCAACTTCACCGTGCAGGAGAAGGACCTGCCCATGACGCGCTTCGACAGGAACTTCATGGTCGACATGCTCCAGCACCCCGACATGTCGCGCAACGTCATGGTCGCCGGCCACATCCACCACGGCAAGACGTCGCTCGTGGACATGCTCGTGTTCGAGACGCACCAGCTTACATGGGACGCCGACCGGCCAACACGGTACACCGACACGCACGTCCTCGAGCGCGCGCGCGAGATTTCCATGAAGTGCGGCCCTATGACCCTCGTGCTGCCCGACTCGCGCGGCAAGTCGCATCTCGTCAACCTCATCGACACGCCCGGCCACCTCAACTTCATGGACGAGGTTGCGTGCGCAACGCGCCTCGCTGACGGCGTCGTCGTCGTCGTCGACGTGATCGAAGGCGTGATGGCCGGTACTGAGGCTGTGATCCGGCACGCGATGCAGGAGGGCCTGCCGATGGTGCTTGTCGTTAACAAGATGGACCGCCTTATCCTCGAGCTCCGCCTGCCCCCATCCGAGGCCTTCTTCAAGGTCAAGCATACGATCGAAGAAGTCAACTCGTTCGTCGCGTCCATCGACCCCGACGAGAAGTACCGCTTGTCGCCGGAGCGCGGCAACGTCGCGTTCGCATCGACCCAGATGGGGTGGTGCTTCACCCTCAACACCTTTGCGCAGATGTACGCCGACACGTACGGCGCACTCGACGTCGATGCGTTCGCCAAGCGGTTGTGGGGCAACATCTACTTTGACGGGGAGCGGCGCAAGTTCGTGCGCAACCCCGCCGACCCCGAGTCGAAGCGCTCGTTCGTCCACTTCATCCTCGAGCCACTGTACAAGCTCTACACAACGGTGTTGAGCGAAGACACGGATACGCTCAAGGAGACGCTCGCCGACCTGCGCATCACCCTCAAGCCCGCCATGTACAAGATGGACGTGCGGCCGCTGCTCAAGGTTGTGACGGACGCGTTCTTCGGGCCATCGATCGGTCTCGTCGACATGATCACCACCTTCCTCCCCTCGCCCGTCGCCGCTGCAAGGCAAAAGGTCGAGCGCTCCTTCACTGGCCCTTTAAATACGCGGCTTGGGGAGGCGCTGCTGTCGTGCGACGCGGACGGCCCGACCGTTGTGCAGGTGACGAAACTGTTCATGACGACGGACGCGCAGGAGTTCCGTGCCTTTGGCCGCGTCATGAGCGGCAAGATCTCGCGCGGGCAACCAGTGTACGTGCTGGGCGAGGGGTACTCGCTCGACGACGAAGAAGACATGGTGCCCGCAATCGTCGAGGGGGTCATGCTCGACGAGTCGCGGTATAATGTGGACATTGAGACCGCGTACGCCGGCAACCTCGTGTTGCTCTCCGGCGTCGATGCGTCGATCAACAAGACAGCAACCATCTACGAGCGCGGAATCGACGACGACATGTACATCTTCAAGCCGATCCGGCACTTTGCGCAGTCGGTGCTCAAGGTCGCTGTCGAGCCTGTCGCTCCTTCGGAATTGCCGAAAATGCTCGACGGCTTGCGCAAGATCAACAAATCGTACCCGCTGGTGCAGACCAAGGTTGAGGAGTCGGGCGAACATATCATCCTGGGTACTGGCGAGATCTACGTCGACAGCGTGCTGCACGACTTGCGCAAGCTCTTCTCCGAGATCGAGATCAAGGTGTCGGACCCAGTGACCAAGTTCTGCGAGACGGTAGTCGAGACGTCGGCCCTCAAGTGCTACGCCGAGACGCCGAACAAGAAGAACAAGCTTACCATGATTTCGGAGCCCCTCGAAAGTGGGATTGCCAAGGACATTGAAAACGGCAAGGTGACGATGCGCATGACGAACAAGGAGCGAGGCAAGTTCTTTGAGCAGAACTACGGGTGGGACCTGTTGGCATCGCGGAATATCTGGGCGTTCGGGCCAGACGACAACGGGCCAAACGTGCTGGTCAATGACACGCTGCCGAGCGAAGTCGACACCAAGCTTCTGACCAACGTGCGTGAGAGCATCAAGCAGGGCTTCCAGTGGGCGGCGCGCGAAGGGCCACTGTGCGACGAGCCGATCCGTGGCGTGAAATTCCGCCTGCTGGATGCGACTGTGTCTCCGGAGCCAATATACCGCGGTGGCGGCCAGATCATCCCGACTGCTCGCCGCGTGTGCTACTCGTCGATGCTGTTGGCGTCCCCGCGTCTCCTGGAGCCAGTGTATTATGTCGAAGTGCAGGCGCCGGCAGACTGCGTCGCGGCCGTGTACACGGTGCTCTCGCGGCGCCGCGGCCACGTCACCAAGGACATCCCCAAGCCCGGCTCGCCGCTGTACACTGTCAAGGCGTATATTCCTGTGCTGGACGCGAACGGGTTCGAGACCGACCTGCGTACCGCGACCATGGGGCAGGCGTTCCCGCAGATGACGTTTGACCACTGGCAGGTCGTCCCTGGCGATCCGACAGATAAGACGATCCAGCTGCGGCCTCTCGAGCCGGCGCAGGGCCAGGATCTTGCCCGCGACCTCGTGCTCAAGACGCGCCGCCGTAAGGGTCTCAGCGACAGCATCGCCGTCGCAAAGTATCTTGACGACGACTTGCTCGTGGCCATCAGCGCGAGCAACCCCGACTTGTTGGGGTAGGCGGATGTGTTGGAGACAAGGGGGATGATTGGCCGCGGCCGTGTTGGCGCTGGAGGCGAACTTGTAGTAGATAAAAGACCGTCGCGCTGCGACGAGTAGATGCATGGAGATCATGTAGCGTGGGGCCTTGTTAACCCAGCAAGAGTGCACATATGGGGTTGCATTGGAAATCTAGTGTACAGCAAACAGTGTACTTACGGCGGCTGCAGCTCTGAGGCTCGCGCGCCTGGCTAAGGAGTGACCTGAGTTTTCTAGAGGGTTATGTGCTATGGGGTCTCGTCGCCGGTGCGCTTCTCATCGACGCGCTCCGGCACGATAGGAGCCTTGACACTGCGCGCAATAGGCTTGACGCGGCGCACGACGGGGAACCACAGCGTCTCGTCGTAGTCCCACTCGCCGGGACTCGTCTTGTTCGCGAGGCAGAGTTGGATAGACGCAATGAAGATGCGGTACGCGCCGAGCCCTGTTGCGAGGTGCCAGTATCCGTGGCCCTCGGTGAATGCGCCGAGCGGGCCGAGGCCGTGGGCGCTGAGCCAGGCGCGCGTCGAGCGGAGGTAGACGCAGAAGTAGTTGTCCGCGTTCCAGATCGCGAAGCCGAGCACGAAGATGCCCACGCCGCCGCCGAGCGTGCGCGCGAGCTTGGCCCGCATCGTCTCGGGCAGGCGCAGGATGAGCTGCGCCGAGCGCAGGACCGCCGACGTCATGATGAGCGCGAATGCGATCTGGTGATACACCGGGTTGGGGAGCATGACGCTGGAGGTGAGCGACATTCCGAGAGGAGAGTGCACGGACGGGAGGCAGGCACACATGAGATTCTGGGCACAGGCCAGTGTCTCGGCGATGGGAGCCCGTCCGGCCGCGATGCATCCAGCGATGAGGCAGCATCACACCGACACGGATGAGAGTGATGGCAGCCTTGGGGAGTAGGGGAGAAGCACTTACTAGGAAACCGTCACAAACACGTCCCACACAACCAGGAGCACCGGACCCCATATTCCAAAGCGCGGCTTGAAGCCGGGGAGAGTGTCAACGACGAGATAGGCGGCGTACGAGACGACATAGATCTGCCGTCAGCAGTGCCACTTGTTCCACGGCGGATCGGCGGACCAGTGGATCGGCGGCGGATCGGTAGATCACCATGCGCACCCTTGTCGCCCGCATTACACATCCACACTCACCATTGGCAGCTCGTCCATCAGCTGCCAGGACCACTTGAGCGAGCAGTGGAAGCCAAAGCTCCCGATGCCGATGAGGGAGAGGCCGATGAACACGAGCGCGTATCGCCTTGGCGCGCCGCTTGCGACCGTCGACCACGCGCCGTACAGTCCCATCAAGATGACAGGAACATTCGTGAGTGTGTTGACGAACTCGGCGATGAGGTAGGAGGTGGTGTAGTTGAGCTCGCACCAGTCTGGGGTTAGCGGGCGCCAGTTTCTGCGTAGTCGGTGGCTTAGTGCATCGCGCGCCCCTCCTTGTTTAGGCCACCATCGCTCGCCATTCCCATCATGATTTGTGCAGGTCGGGAGCTGTGCGATGCGCGCCCGCTTGCTCTGCGAGCGGACAGATAAGAACCCATCGACCAGTGACCTCGCCGCAGCCGTACCCACCAATAGTGCTAGTGACGGGCCCATGCCAGCCATCAAGGTTGGCGTCGGTGTGGAGAAAGTCGAAGGCACCCATAGTGAGGTGCAGAGTAAGGAGAGTGAGGCAAGTGCGAAAGGGTTGCCGGTCAGTGCAGAGCTGTTTGCTTTTAAGACAGAGGGAGAGAGCGAGCTATACACGCAACACGCCCAGAGGACAGAGCCTCGGTGTACACACGGCGTCCCAGCGTACTGGCTCCCGGTGTAGCGGCAGCGAGGGACGCAGGCACTATGACGGCGCGCGGGGGAGGGTGGGGGATACGTAATTTCAATATAGGGTAATGCTTGACGGCCGCGCTTGAATTAGGTGAATAGCTGCCCAAGAGCCCACTCCGCTCACCATTTCCCACGTGCTTTGGCTTGTCTCGCTAGAAATGGAAACCATGCAGGACACCTCTTCATTAACTTCACCTCAGTCCGCACATTTTTATGAAGTATTTGACGTCTCTCGCATCCTTTGGCATGCTCCGGGTGGTTGTCCACAAGATGGGTACCACTGGGGTCCACAGGCTGTCTCTACCTCAAGCTCCCGAAGCCTACGTCAGCGGTGACACGAACTAAGGGCGTCGCCCGCATGTGCGGCGATAGCGAGCGCCAGGCGACTCACCGGACAATCTCGGTCATACCCCGGAACACTGTCCCAGCTATCACACTCTTGATTATGACTTTGCAGTTCAATGGTCAGCAGCAAGTATAACGTCAACCGTTGCCCCAGGAAATGAATCACGCCTTGACCGAGGAGCGTGCTGCCGCCATGGACAAACGTCCGCGCGACTTGACCGACTGTGGGTAGACTGCACGAGTACTACTGGCAATCTGGGTACTCACTCACCTGTTCTCATAGAGGAGATGGTTGCGCGAGCCACCATCCAGTAGACGACCAGTCGGCGATGGCCGATCGGGCCCCGCAATGCCGAACTCGAAGATCCCATCCCTGCGACGCTCACATCCTCTCGTTCTCTCACTCGCCTACCATGACCCTCTCACGTCAGTCCAACGCAGCCTCCAACCCCGGCCTCGCGGCTGCTCTTCAGTCAGCACGCGCGTCGTATTTAGAACGCAACCCCAAGTCACACGCCGCCTACAGCAAGGCCACAGAGTCGCTGCCAGGAGGTGGAACACGCACAACCCTGGTCGTCGACCCCTTCCCGCTCATGATAGAGAGTGGAAAGGGTTCAGAGATCACTGACGTGGACGGACACACATACAAGGACTTGTAAGGCTGTCCATGCCTCGCTTGTTGACCTCAAAGCCTCTCCGATTACACGAGCGGGCTTTATGGCAAGAGCAACCCCGTGCTGCTGGAGGCAATCAGCAAAGCCCTCGCGCAAGGCCTGCAGTTCGGCGCTCACACGCCGCACGAAGCGCGCTTTGCGGCAGGCCTTGTGGCGCGCTTCCCATCGATGGATCTCGTGCGCTTCGCCAACTCGGGAACCGAAGCCAACATGCTCGCACTCACCACGGCTCTCAAGCACACAGGCCGCAGCAAGGTCGTCGTCTTTGACGGCGCGTACCACGGATCGCTGTTGTGTCACTTTCATACGGGCGACAAGGGGATGCCGGAGGGTGTGGTGCGTGCACCCTTTGACTTTGTGATCGCACCGTACAACGATATCGACGGGGTGAAGGCCCTCCTTGGACCCATCAAGGCGGATGTCGGAGCCATCATAGTCGAGCCGATGCTTGGCGCGGGAGGATGCGTTCCCGCTGAGCCCCAGTTCTTGCGTGACCTAAGAGACTATTCGACTGAAATTGGCTCCGTCCTTATCTTCGATGAAGTGCAGACGAGCAGGCTGTCTCCCGGCGGTCGGCAAGCACTGCTGGGGATCACACCTGATATGACTACCGTGGGCAAATTCTTCGGCGGTGGCTTCGCGTTTGGTGCATTTGGCGGCAAACGCGAGATCATGGACATGTGAGAAACGGTAAAGGCAAGTCTAATTGCAGGTTCGACATCAGGAAGCCCGGCGCCATCTCGCACGGCGGCACGTTCAACAACTCGCCTTTGACGATGGTGGCCGGCGCAACAGCGCTCGAGCACCTCCTGACCCCCGAGGCGCTGGAGCGACTGAACAATCTCGGCGACCACATGCGTGACGCGCTGAATGCTGCGTTCAAGACGACAAACGCGCCGTTCTTCGCCAAGGGCCTCGGATCAATCAACCAGCTCTACTGCACGCTTCCGGCGGAGGATCGCGACGCAGCCATGGAGGTCCTGTTCTTCATGCTGCTGGAGAAGGGATACTGGGTTTCGCAACGCGGTACGCTCGCGCTCAACTTTGAGAATAGCGCCGAGGAGGTCGACGGGTTCGTGGCAGCGGCCGTCGAGGCAGCTGGGCGCGTCGCAGCAGCAGCCAAGTCCCATTAATAGGATTTCGTATTTTAGCTTGGATTAGTAATAGGGCAATTAGGCTAAGAAAAGTTATCCGAGCCCCCAATAGCACCCATGTAAACAAACGACCGCGACTGACTTCTTCTTCGATTCTCTTCGACACTCTCCGCCATCCTGCAAACATCCTCACCATGCCCCCCTCTGGGCGCTCGCGGCCGTCCTTGCTCGCCCCATCCGCACCAACACCACACTTCCGCCGCCCAGCTGAGACCCCCTTCGGCAAGATCCAGCCTGTCTTCGACGGTTTCGCGCTCGCCGAGACGTCATGGGCCTCCGACTCCACTGTCTCGAACGTTACTCCGCGCGTTAAAGCTCCGCACAAAACACCTGAAACCAAACGTCGCCGGCGAGACGAGCTGTACACCCCCGCACCACCGGCTGCCGAGTACCACTCGCCGCCGCCCGCCCCACACCAGGACGACTTGTTTGCGCGGCGGCTGGCGGACTCGATCAGACGGGCACCACTTGCCCCTCTTCCAGACGAACAGCTTCAGGATGCACCGTCAGCTGTGAGTGCCCTCTGAGGCCTCGGACGCGCGCTAATGCCAGGCTGCGCTGCCAGCGCACGATTCAGTCTCCAAGCCGGCGGTGGTCAAACCGAAAATGTCCTCTCGCGCAGCGCGAGCCCGTGCTGCAGGAATCCCTACGCTTGCAGCGCGGTCGATTGCCATCCCTCCTTCGCGTGTTCTTCCACCTCTGCGCCGCCCTGTTCCGCAGCCGCGCTACGATCTCCCATCTAGCCAAGCGCCTGGTGTCGCTTTGAGCGCCTCACGAGCTTCCGTTTCCCACCGTCCCCACGTCGATCGCGAGAACTGCCCGCCATCGGCGGCAGGCCCAAGCTTGCGATCAACAATGTCGCAAACACTGCCATCTACCAGCAGCTACCCGTCGCTGTCTTCAGCCAACCCTCCTCAACCCTATGAGCAATCCCCATCCACTTTCCCCGTGTCACGGGACGTGTTGATATCCCAGGCTTGCCCGTCTGCCGATACTCCTGCATCGACGAAGTCGATAGCTGCGTCCGCAGCGACGCTGGAGGGCCGCTCGGAGCTGTGGGACCTCTCTATGGGCACACCGACGGGCATCTCGATTAATCGCCGCCGCCCCGCCCAGAATCTTGTCATCTCGCCGTATGCTTCGTCAACACCTGCTAGGGGAGAGCGCAGCATCCGCAGCCCCCTGTCAATGGGAGTCGCATCGCCTATGCGCGGCCTTGCACCGACGATGGAGGATAGGCGCCACCCTGTACCTGCGGTTGTGGCTGCCGAGGACGTCCCGCGGAAGCTGTCGTTCAACATGCGTGAGGAGATTTCCCAGCGTCTGACACCTCCGCGACTGCAGCGCCCCCAAGCACAGTCCGAATCGCCAGCGGAGGAGGACAGCAGGGACTCGGGAGGCATACTCGGCTTCCTCACAGGCCTGTTTCTCAACCCACCAGCTCCTCCCAAGGTCGCGCCGAAGCGTGCGCCGCCGCCCTCCCGCCCGGCTCTTAAGAGCTCTCGCCCTGGCCCCAGCCGCTCGGCGGTGGCCGCCAGAATGAACCGGGACGAGACACGCGTGACCAAGACTGCTCCCAAAGGCAGAGCACCTGAGATCAGAGTGTCCGACAGCAGAGACGAGAATCGCATCATCAGAGCGGCTCCCAAAGTTAGAGCGACTGCGCGAGCCATCAGCACGCGGCCCTCCGCTCAGCAGGTGTCCAAGCTAGCATCGCACCCGCCACGCCAGCCCCTCTGCGAGACTCGTGGTGATGTCATCAACCAGGCGACTGCACTTCGCCAGAAGCGCAAGCAGCCGCCCTCACCCGTTAAATCGTCACGACCTGCAGGACCTCCGCCCGTCCGTGGATCGGCGCCTCCGTCGTATGCTCGTCCCACAGCCAGCCGTATGGCTAGCCAGCCTGCCGCCAACGTGCAGAGCTCGACGCATACGCATACGACGGCAAGGCGGCCGCGGCCTGTCTCTCGCATAACGCCATTTGTAGCGCAAGCTTTGGCGCGCCTGCCAAAACCCGGCGAGGGCGTGACTCCGGCTGCGAAGCCAGTGTCCATCGCGGACCACGAGCGAGCACGCGAGCTTGCCATCCGCAAGGCCGTTTTTGAACGCGCAGGCAAAGCTGAGCTGCCTGCCCCACCGCCTGAAGAGCCAATTCAGCGATCTGCCCCGCCCCCTGCTCCAGCCGCCCGCATCCCCGGCGAGGCGACACGCCGTCGCGCCGAGATGCAGGCTCTTAACAAGGAGCGCCGCGATCGCAAGGCGGCAGAGGAGGCCCGTGTCGCTGCTGAGGAAGCGCGGATCCGCGCCGAGATCGAGGCCGAGTTTGACAGGCAAGCGCGCCGGGCCACCGTGTTCCGCCCCAACCCTCTGCCCGAGATGTACCACCGCCGCTAGCATGATGTTTATTGTGTTGTAATTTGCGACAATGTTTATTATTATGCATACAATTGATGAAGCAGCAAGGAGGTCGAAGCTTGCGATGACGCTATCCGCCAATCGGGAAGACCTCGGCCCGAGGCGCGGAATGACCGCCAGGAATCCGACGAGGTGGTTGATCTCTCGACTCCGCACACCACTCCGCCCACCTGAAAATGCCAGAGCTCTTCAACACCACTCGGTGAGTCGCGGCACGGCTGAGCTGACTCCAGCCTGCAGGGCAAGACTGGTGCGTGATGCGGCGCTGGCGCCGCCGCCATATCAGGCTTTGCTAACAGCAGCGATCGTGACGGGCGCGTCGAGCGGCATCGGCGCCGCGACCGCGGTCCTCTTCGCGCGCGCCGGCTGCAACCTCGTGCTCCTCGCGCGGCGCAAAGCGCAGCTGGACGAGGTCGCGGCGCAAGCCAAGGCCGCCGCGGAGGCCATGGGCCACCGCCCGCAGATCGTCGTGCGCACGCTCGACGTAAACGACCGCGCGGCGGTCGACGCGCTCGTGCCTGCGCTGAAGGAGGCGGGCGTGCAGTCCTTCGACGTGCTCGTCAACAACGCCGGCGGCGCGATTGGCACCGAGCGCGCAGGCGACATCAAGATGGACGACGTCGACTTCATGGTCAACACCAACCTCGTCTCGCTCATCCAGATCACGCAGGTCTTCCTGCCCGAGATGAAGCGCCAGGACTCGGGCCACATCATTAACATCGGCTCGCTGGCGGGCCGCGAGGCGTATGTCGGCGGCACGATATACTGTGCTGTCAAGCAGTGAGTCGGGGGGTGTTGGCTAGGGTGGCCCCGTCAAGAAGAACGAGCAGGCGGGCGGCTGGGTGGCCGCACGACCGCCTCTCTCCCCATCCCCCCGTTCCCGCTCACACCAGCGCCGTCAAGGCATTCTCCCAGTCGCTCCTCAAGGAGCTCGTCGCCACGGGCATCCGCGTGTCCGAGGTCGCCCCCGGCTTCGCTGAGACCAACTTCGCCGTCACCCGCTTCCGTGGCGACGAGGAGGCCGCCAAGGCCGTGTACAAGGGCTTCAAGCCGCGTAAGTTCTGCGTGCCGCGTCCGCGCCGCGCCTCCTCCGCAACGCCACTGACCCCAGTCGTCGCCGAGGACATCGCCGAGGAGATTGTGTGGTGCGCGCTGCGCCCGCCGCACGTGCAGATCGCCGAGCTCTACGTCCTCCCGTCGGCGCAGGGTGCCGCGACCATCATCCACCGCAGCGAGTAATGATGCATATGAGATGTGATGTGATGCGACGTGCTAAATGCTAACCTCTACCTCCGCTTGCGGTCGTCGCCCTTGCCCGAGAACGTGCGGCCTCCAGGCTTGACTGCCGCGCGCCGCTCAACCTTGCCGAGCACGCTCTTGATCTCTTTGCCGTACCGCAGATCGTTGGCGCCGTTGACGCCGAACACGACGACGCGGCCGTGGCGCCCGGCGCGGCCCGCCCGGCCGGCGCGGTGCACGAAGTCGAGGACGTCGCGCGGCGGATCGACGAGGTAAATGGACGTGACGGCGGCGGAGAAGTCGAGGCCTCGCGAGAGGAGTGAGGTGGTGACGAGCACGCGTGCGCCGCGGGCATCGCCGTCACTCCCGTGGGCAAGGAAGGCGTCCAGCGGCCCGTTGTGGCCCGGGACACGTTCTGGCGACTCGCCCGTCCACGAGAGCGCGGGCACGCCCTTGTCCTCTAGCGCGGTGGAGATGGCCTTGACTTGCCCGACGGAGCCGCAGAACACGACGGCGCGCGGGCGCGTGTCGACGCCCGCGAGGCGCGCGTCGTGGCTGTCCTCCGCGAAGCCACGCTTGATCTCGTGCACGATATCGGCAGTGCGGTTGCCGCCGCCGGACCAGGGGACAAAGCGCGTGTCGAGCTTGCGCGGGAGGCGGTGCAGGCCGGGCGAGAGGAGGTGCTCGAACTGGCCGCCGAAGAGGGGGCCTTCGAGCACGCGGAGGAGCGAGGGCGGCAGCGTAGCGGTCACGAGAAGGACGTGGAGGTTCGGCGACGCGGCGCGGACGCGCTCGACGACGCGGCTCGTCTCAGTGATGAAGTCCAGGCCGAGGAGCACGTCCGCTTCGTCGATGACGAGCCACTCGACGGCGCCGAGGTCTAGGCGCTCCTCGAATGTCCGCTCGGGCTTCTCTGCCCGCGGCCGGCCGGGGCGCTCCTTCTCCTTCTCTTCGAAGGGTAGGCCGAGGAGCGACGTCGCGCCGCGGCCTGTTGCGAAGAGCACGTCGGCGTGCCCGAACAGGGTGCCGGGCGAGCTGGCGCCAAGGATGCGCAGCTTGGCAGAGTGTGCGAGCTCTTTCGCGACGCGCGTGCTCTGGCGCGTAAGCTCGTGCGTGGGAGCGAGAACGAGCGCGCGCGGTTTGGCGAGGACGTCTGCCTGCGTCTGCGGGGACGGACCGGTGTCCGTCGCTTTGAGGTGGTGCAACAGGGGGAGGAGGTATGCTAGTGTCTTGCCAGACCCGGTCTCGGCACCGAGGACGGCGCGGAGCTTGTGCGGCGCGGCGAGGAGCTTTGCGAGCGCAAGGCTTTGGATCGGCGTCGACTGCCCGCCGGGGAAACGCTCGTTCAGCGCAGCCTGCAGTCCCTCGTGCAGCTCGAATGCGTTGAACGCGCGCGGCTGCGCGAGCGCCACGTTCTCGTGGCCTCGCGCATGTGTGAGAGGCGACGCGGCGTGAGCTGCATGCGCGGCGGCTGTTGTCCGCGCTGCTTTGGCGCGCACTGCGCTCGACGGGGCGGGAGGGAGGAGGCGCGGTGCGCGCGGCACCGCGGCGAGTCGCCGCGATGTTGTCTGCGCCGCTGGAGCTGTAGCGCGGCCGCGGTTGTCACGGTCGCGGGTGCTAGTGCGGTCTCGGTTGTCGTTCTGGTTATCGCGGGTGCGGGTGCGGTCCCGGCTGTGGTTCTCGCTGTAGCGGGTGCGCGGGCGCTCGCCGTCGCGAGACTCGCGGTACTCGCCGCGCGGTGGGGGCCTGTCACTCCGCGCTGGAGGGCGCGTGAGAGCGACAGTGGCGGAGGATGAGAGGCCCGCAAATGCTGGTGTAAGAACGCGGGCGAGAGACGGCACGACGCGCGCCACGGAGTAGGCTGCGAGCATGGTGGGTGGGTGGGTGATGATGAACGAACTTTCAGACCAAGATGCTCACGAAAACATTTAATGACGTGGACAGGGGAGGGTGAACTGATAAGGGCCCAGCTACCATGGCTGGAAAATGTTCAAAAGGAGCGAGACTGCTTTACCGTTGCTTCCAACATCTCAACATCACACTCCGCCTCTGTCGCTTTCGTTTCCAGGTGAGTCTCCGTCTCGAACCGCATAAATATAAATGAAGAGTGGAGAATCCTCCCCATTGGCACCTCTTGACCTAGGCCTGCGTCAACCACTGCCAGCTACGGCTGGCAGGGCGCGTGGGCCAATGTTCTCACTGGACATCTGATACCCTCTTGCTGTCTGTTCTGGACTGCGCTGACGTTTAGGTACTTCTGTAGCATAGTTCTGTAATCGTCGTTGGATGGATTGTCTGCTCTTGCTTGTTGGAATGTCTGCGTTGCATAGCATTCATCTCCGAATGTCGACCACTATCCATTGCCGTTGTTGACGTATTGGCCGGAGCCCGTGTGCTGCAGACATGGGCAGCGTTATATGCCTATGAGCGCCTTGACTAAAATCGATGCGTTCACCACTCGTTCCTCAGTTGGCCAAGTGATTATCCACTACCCGGGTCGGCAGCCATGGCTCACAGGTTCCCCGACTTGGCCTCCAAGCAAATAACATAGGAGTCTGCCCCGCCGTCACAGAGACGGTGTGCACATGCAACATTACCTCTATACAACACTCTACCGAGCTGGTGGAGACATGGGGCCCAGAATACTGGCAGCCCCGGCACTGTCCTTGCGGCTGCTTGCACTCTTCACAGTGCGGATCTGGAAGGTACCTGTCCGTCAGATCACCACCTTCTGCTCAACTCACACTGTGGCAGCTGTGAGCTCTCGCACGTCACAGTCGTGTGCATGCCCAGACGCGCCAGTGCGCCTTGGATCAGAGCCTGTGGAAACACGAGGTGGTGGCGCGCGGCGTCGAGATCCGCAGCTGCTCCCCGGAACGAGCTGAGCGGCTCAAGGGGTGGAAACGCGTGGCTTTGCAAGACGAACACGCCACGGTGATTTGTACGGAGGTTGTCAATCTGCTTGCCATAGATGTGGAGGAAGAGATCCTTGCACACGAACTTGATCATGTCGAGGTGTGTTGCAAGGGGTGGGCGCGCCGCTGTGAGTCTAGAGTCAGCCCTAGTGCACGCCAAGATGGGCGAGCACTGGCTGGCAGACTGCATGCTCGTGCCGCCCAACTCACTTCTCTGCCATGTACCCGCCGACCATGTACCCGATGCGCTCGACGCGCGTTGCGACTGCCGCATTGACAAGGAGCGGCATGTCAGCTGCCTTGCTCTTGCCCTTGTTCCCCACGTCGAGCATACTCGAACTTTCGCCCTCGGCTTCGGTCTCGTCCGCTATCCTGCGGCGCACGGCGGCGGCGGCACTGTCTGCCAAGGCGTTGAGTGCTTCGGGAAGGAGGTAGGCCGGCAAGGAGGCGTCGACAAGCATGGGCGCCGGCGCCGCCATTTGGTGTACGGCTGGGGGAGCCACGGGGGCGATAGGCGCATGGGGAGTAGTTGCGCTCGATGGGGGGCGGTGACCTTGTGACATTGCGGTTGAGACGTCGAGTCGAGATGCAGCGGGGGGATGGAACTGATAGCCTCGACCCACATGGATGATCGGGTGAGGGGGTCACGTGCGGGGGAATGACGTGTGATACCCCGCATAGTGGCCAGGTGGGGGTCCCATCACGATGCGGCAGCGCGCGTGTCCTCGATGGGAACATAGCCATGGCATCCTCATCATTCACTTGACTCTCTTCACCATCTCAACTCTTCCCATCGCTACCACTCTCCCCCATCGCGCCTCTTCATCTCCATACCGACCCGTTGACCCACGCTCCCCGTCCTCCCTGCCTTCCTGGCTCTTGCCACCCTCAAGGAGCCGAGCCCCTTCCCCCCACCTCACATAGTCCCCCTCCATCTGCGCCGGTCGCGCCCCCGCGCGCACCATGGCACAGCAATCTCAGCAGGAGCTCCAGGCCGAGCTCGCCCATCTCTTGGCCACCCAGCATCTGACTGGGCCGCCATGCCCCGAGTTCCTGGGAGCCGAACGCGCCCAAGTCGTGCGGCAGCTTTACAAGACGATCCTCAACCAGCCGGAATGGGTTGCTGCCTTCCTCCCAGACCCCGCGGATGACTCCGACTTCAGTGCGCAAGCCTCAGCGTCTGGTGCGCGCTCCACATTCATTCCATCTTGGGACGACGCGAGCGAGTGGCTGCTTCCATATACTGACACGACATACGAACCACAACGATGCTGGTCCCTGCTCGACGCGCAGCGCCTGAACGAGGAGCGCCACCGCCGCGCCGGGAAACCAGGACGCGTCTCTAGGCCCGGCTCAATCTGCGGCAAGGTCCTTCAGCGCTACGATCGGACGTACATCTGCAAGTGAGTGGTGCGAGATCCATCATCGATCCCGATTCCTGAGTGATGACCGAATCGTGCTGACTGCAGAACATGTGCCAAGGACTCGTCTTGCGTACTCTGCGTCGACTGCTTCCAAGCAAGCAACCATGAAGGGCACGAAGTGCTCTTCGGTCTCTCGTACACGTTCGCAGCTGTGTGCGATTGCGGGGATTCGAGCGCATGGCAGGACAACGAGCACTTGGGGTGTGCGCACCATCCACCAGTACGTGGCAACCAATTGCCCCGCCCCAAGGCTCAAAACCCGCCCTCCGCACTCTGCAAGGCGCTCTATGAGACCATTGTCATCTGTGTCGAGTACATCATTGCAGCCTTTGAGCGCTCAGCGTTGCCGAACGACTATGGCAAGCTGCCCGCCACTCGCGAGGAGATGGCCGAGGGCAATATCCCCTCTGCCGAGCCCGCCGAGCTTCGCGGCAAAGGCCCATGGGCCATCGTTGCGTGGGCAGACGAGCGTCATGGCTTGCGTGAAGTCACTCGCCAATTCCGCGACGCCACGGGCTTGTTGTGGGACGTTGCTGAACGAGACGCCAAGGAGTGGGACGAGGTGGTGAGTACCCCGCCGGCGGCAGTCACTGATATGCAGGGGCGCAAAGTTCTTGCTGTCGTACAAGTGGACACCCAAGCGTTCCACCACGCCTCAATGCTCCAGCAGATCGACATTGGCGTCACCTTGCACCACGCTTACGACGTGTATCGCGAGGACGTGGCAGGGTTCCTCATCCAGTGGCTCAGCGAAATGTGCAAAACCACCATTTGTGGCGACGATGAGCTGGTGCGCCGATATGTTGCTATGGCGTTCTTCCAGCCCCGAAATAGACGATCCAAGCCAGACGTTGGATCGCCTCTCGCTCCTGACTTGGCCGACCTTGAGGCGAGCGGGTCAAAAGCTGTGCGGTTCGACTGGCTGATGCGTCTGGACGTCCGCCTGTGGAAGCGCGCCAAGTGGCAGCTGCGTGACATTTATGCCGGTATATTTGTGCTGGGCCGGGACTTCAAGCGCCAGCTTGCGACGCGGTACTCGATCAACTACGGCTTCACATTCGAGCACTATCTGTATCAGGACCGCGACGACTCGAGCTTGGCCTTCTCCATGTCGTACATGCTGCTGGGTAGAAGTTCACCCTGCGGCGAAGCCATCGTTGAGAGCCAGCTTTTCCGATCTGTCCTGGAAACGGCGTTCAACTATTACTCATTACGTGGAACCAAGGACGAGTGGAACGAGTACGACGTTCAACGTTTCGACATAGACTCCCCCGCTTTCAAGGGGAAGAAGGGGTTAACGCTTCTGAGTCACCTCCGCGCGCTACTCAAGTACAAGGAGGTCAAGGCGCAGATTGTGCAGGATGAGGAGCTTTTCGAAAGAACTCTTTTATTCCTCAACCACTTCGTCGGTCTGCAGTCGCAGCGCCGTGAACTTGAGCGTCATGTCGAGTACGAAGTCGACTGGATCAAGTCGGTCAGCGTGCTTCCTGACTTGAGCAAGCTAGCTCGCGAGTTCGGCGAGGCATTCTATCTTGCGGACATCAATCAGATTCTCACTGCTATCACGATGGTACAGCGGCGGATCGTAGAGGACCAGACGTTGCAGTCAACAACGCTCGATCGCGCCATGTACGAGAGCCCGACGGTCAAGCGTGTCGAGGATGTATTCCGCCCAGGGACTGCGTACAGCATCCTCGACATCAACGTCGCACGTATCACGGCCTTTTCGATCCACCACTACATGCACTTGGTCATGGCCGAGCTCGTCAAAGCGTACCGCCACGTCTGCTTTCCGGACCCTACCAACTGCTCGCCGGCGAGGTTCGCCAACGCATTCATAACAGTAGCTTGGGGTTCGCCTCCCGCTCCGTGGACCGTCCCAACATATCTCATGGAGTTCCCGCTGCAAAAGCACGTCGTCTTGTCGCAGATCAGATTGTCCATGTGGATGAAGAACGGCGCCGCGATGCGCCACCAGTATCACAACTACCGCGAACCGGCGCATCGCGAGTTCACGATCGACCAAGAGTTCTTCCTCCTCCAGTTCGCCCTCTGCATCATGGACCAGCAGCATTTCCTCACGGTGGTCATCGAACGACATGGCTTGAGCGACTTTTTCCGCCTCAACGTCATGTCGCCCAAGCTGTGGGAAGGTGATATGGACCCGAAGGAGGCGGTCGCCATGATGGAGGAGCTTCTGCTGCTTATCATCTACCTTGTCTCGGACACAGCAGTCATTAACCGCCTCGACTCTCGTGACATTACGCGCAAACATATTATTCAGACTTTGGCCCTAGGGCCATTGCCGTACTCGGAGGTCGTGCGCAAGCTGCCGGAGCGCTCGCACGAGAGAGGCAGTTTGATACCCATTCTGGACGAGCTGGCAACCTTCCGGCCTCCAACCGAGACCGCCACGGGTTCATACACTCTCAAGCCCGAATTCTTCGCTGAAGTCGACCCCTTCTGGCGCCAATACAGTCGAAACGAACAGCGCGACGCTGCACAGGTGCTGCTGGATCGCGCCTTGAAGGAAGATCCTTCCGAAACAAACCCCGTCATCAAACCCTTGCCACTCCGCATTCCCCCTCACCCAGCGCCGTTCTGCAACCTTGCCGACTTCCTGCAGACCCCGACAGCCTCCGCCATCGTGTATTGGTCGCTGAGTCACTGTATGATTATGGCCACGCCGGAAGACTGGCCTGGTAAATATACAAGCCAAAGGCAGCCGACGGGCCATGTGCTACCGGCCATGGACGCTCTTCTCACCCTGTCCCTGCACCTCGCCATGATGGTGCTGGACGCCGATCCTGGAGGATTTGCAATGCGGTCACTCGAGATTATTGAGACGAGCGGGTCAATGAGCATCTTCCAGAACCTCTGGTTCATGCAGACTAATTCGGCCTTCAAAGTCTTCCGTCCCAAGGTCGACTACATCCTCGAGCGTATCGTCGAGAACCTACCCGAGAACTACACCGTTGACTACCGTGCGCAGCGCGATTCACGGCGTGCTGCTGCTGCCCAGAATGCCGCGGCTCAGCAGGCCGACAGCGCAAGGGCGCAGGCGAAGGCGCGTCAGCAGGCTCTCAAGGCCAAATTTGCGCAGCAGCAGGCCAACTTTGCCGCCACTTTTATGGACGATCTGGACGACGAGGAAGAGGAGCAGGAGCAGAACGACCGGTACGGCGAGTGCATTGTCTGTCAAGAACCTGTCCACCCTGGCCGTACGGGAGGCATGCTCGCCTTCCTTCAGCCAAGCCGCATTATCCGTGATGCGGTGACGGACCGGGATTGGTACGAGGAGGTGCTCCAGACGCCCTCGGATCTTGACCGTGATACGCGCTACCTGCGCTTCGGGATGGCCACGACTGGTGAGCCGCTCAACACAGACGCGTATCCCTCAACCAACATGCGTTTCGGCGTCTACGTGTCGGCGTGTGGTCATCTCATGCACGACCACTGCATATATCAGCACAATGAGGGAACACGCACTCGCCAAGCGAGCCAGGTTCAACGTCATCAGCCCGAGAACGCAATGCGGCACGAGTACATGTGCCCGCTGTGCAAGAGTATTGGTAACATCCTCGTACCTTTGGACCCCACAGCGACATCATTACGTCCGATGCCTCGCTCCAAGGTCGCACCAGGCCTCCCACCAACACTCAGCGAGCGCATCCGCGCGGTGAGCGAGGAGGGCCTCTTGCGTGTCTCCGACTCAGCCAAGATCTGGGACTTCCACGTGGAGACTGGCGAACTCGTGCCATGGTTCACCGACTGCGAGTTCCAGCGTCACGCCTTGGATGCAACGTACCGCAAGACCCACAAGAACGTCCACCGTATGGTCGACCGGATACGCCAGCTCACTCGGCCCCTCTCCGAGCAGTCGCAGAGAATTCGGGGCAAGAAGACGCATATGTACCTTGCCGACGATCTCGTTGGCTACACCGTGTCCGTGTGCGAGATCACGCACCGCGGGATGGCTACTCCTGGCTTGACTGTCGCCGAGCAGATTCCTGAGACGGGCCTCAAGCTCATTAAGCATCTCATCGGCACGCTACAGCTTGAGCTCGACTTGTTCTTTGGTACCAAGACAGACCGCACACCATTACGCGTGGGGCTGTTTGCACGCTTCCTTCCGGATTGGTACCGTTCCGCCACGCTACCTTCACCTCTGCTGTTCCGGTTACCGCTTGGCATGGTAGTCGAGGCGGCGGCAATTGCACCAGACCTGCTCCAAGCGGTCATTGTCATGTCGTACTACGCCGAGCTGACTCGGACAATGCTTGGTTTGTCGGTCTTCATCCGCCGTTCGGTCTCGAGCCGCAGTGCCCCTCAGCCTCGCACCGAACCCCCACCAGACGTGTCGCGCGAGGATGCCTTGTCGGTGTTTGGCAACTTCCGTCAGCTCATGATTTCCGTGTTGCGGAATGCTGGCCCGTTTATCGACATTGAGGCGGTCCTGGCACTCATCCCGGACGAGACGGTCGCGAGGCTGCTCTACGCCTTCACACTTCCCTTCCTCCGCCGTTCAGCCATCATCTACTACGCCGTCAATAACGCGTATCCTGTGACCAACCCCGACTACATTGTGACCGAGGGGTGCGAGTACCGTCGCCTGCTCAGCCTGCTAGGCATCCCAAGTCCGACGGAGACGCTTGGCAACCCGCACTCGACGGAGACGCCGATTGTCGCGCGATGGCTGACGCAGTGGGCGATGCAGGGCCGCATAATACCTCCACTGGAGTACCCTGGGACGTACGAGCTCATGCGTTTGCCTGAGGCATACGAGGTTGCAGCGATCCGTTACGCCGGCGAGCGCTGCGATGTCTGCGGCATGCGACCCAGCTATCCTGCGCTGTGCCTGATCTGTGGGCGAATGGTGTGTTTGGCAGGCGACTGCTGCTCGGAGGGGGAGCAGGGCGAGTGCAACCTGCACATGAGAGAATGTGGTGGAGTTGTGGGCATCTTTGCCGACCTCAAGCGCTGGGTGATTCTGTACCTGTTTGCGGGCTCGGGCAGCTTTGGTCCGATGCCGTACCTCGACCAATTTGGCGAGTTGGAGACGAACTTGCGGTGAGTGATTGCCCTCGAACAGAAACTGACATCCAGCCGCGGACACCGTCAGAGAATGCACGAGGGACGGTTTGAGGAGTTGCGCAAGAACGTGTGGCTGCAGCATGGCGTGCCGACATTCTGTGCGCGCAAGCTTGAGCTGACGAACGATGGGGGCGGATGGTCGTGTCTGTGAGGGATGTGCATGTTGCATAGTGATAGGATGAGACACAGTGCATGGAGAGTTGTGAGGCGCGCGCGCGCGGTAGTAAGGTGTTGGCTGTCTTGCCATGGCAAGCCCCGATACCGGTTTACTCGCCAAGTGCATTCGCAAAGCCACACTCATTCCAGGACAAGACTCTTCAATGGGCACAAGGTATTGCTCGCCCATCCCTCAAACACCCCACGCCCACGTACCCTCAACACTAGCATCACTACACGCCTCTCGCCTCTCGCCTATCGTACACTAGCGTAACGTCTACGATCTCTCGCTCTTAGCGGAAAGGCAGGCGGCGGGTGGGTATCCGCCGTCCGCCGAACATGTAGAATGTCTTATCTCTATCCTCGCCTTCACGCCGGCGCGTGGCCGCCGGACGCGCCGGACGCGCCGCGCGGGTCGTCCTTGGGCACCATGGACATCCAAATACGCGACTGGGGTCAGCGGGCTCTCTCGCGCGCTCTCGCTCTCCGACGCACCTTGAAAATGCGGAAGTTCTCCTTGGTCAGCTCGCGGAAGTCGACGCGCTTCTCGGCCTTGAAGTAGAAGGTGAGCTTGCGGCGGTCCCACTGGTACTCTGCGTCTACGATCTGCATGGGGAGGCCGCGCTGGACGACCTTTTCGCGGCAGATCATCATGGCGTCGTACTCGTCCTTGAGCTTCTCGACCATGCGGCTGGCGTCAGCGTCGTATAAGCTAGACTTACGCTTGCTCTTCGGGCCCGCCGCTCGACTTGGTGAAGATCCGCTTCGGCATGATCTCCTTTGCGAGGGGGCCGCGCGCGCCGATGCCGCCGCCGCCCATGTCCATCTGGCTGCCGGAGGGCCCGACGCCGGACAGCAGCGTGTTCAGGTCGGCGCCGGAGAAGTCGAGCTGGCCCGGCGCGGGGGGGCGCACGGGCCCGCTGTTCGTCCGCTTGTGCCCGCTGCCGTTCGTGTTGCCCGGCGGTGCAGGCTCGGCGCCGGAGAGCGTCATGCCCGGCGGCTGGTGGGGCGAGGCGCCGTGCAGAAGCGCCTGGGTCGCCTGCTTCTCTTGCCACTCGCGCACGTCGAGCGGCGTCAGCTGGTCGTGGACGACCGTGCCGAGGTCCGAGCCGCGGTCCGCCTCGACGATGACGCGGTCGCCGTTGGAGATGAGCAGCGTCGGGTCCGGGCAGTAGAAGACGTCGCGGCGCCCGGCCTTGAAGGTGACGATGTAGAGCGGCGTCGTCGGCGGGAGGTTGGCGAGCGGTATGCCCTTGCCAAGATCCGCCAGCGAGAGGGACGAGAAGGACGACGGCGAGGTGGGCGCGCCAGGCGCGCCAGGCGCCGAGGGCTGCGAGGCAAAGTAGTTTGGCTGGCTACCCGGGCCGCCGAAGACGCCGCCGTGCTGCCCCGGCGGAGCAGGCGTATTGAGGAAGCTGCCAGGACCGGGAGGGAATCCGGGGCCCATGCCCCCACCCATTCCACCACCCATGCCACCGCCCATGCCGCCGCCCAGCCCGCCGCCGCCCATACTCATCCCGCCCATGTCTCCCATACTACCCATACCGCCCATACCGCCCATACCACCCATTCCGCCTCCGATGCCGCCAAAGCCGCCGTTCTGGGGGAATGGAGGGCGCGGTCCACCTTGCGGCTGGCCGACGCCGCCGTAGAAGCCGCCAAAGCCCGATGGCGGCCGGCCAAAGGTAGGGCCGGGACCCATGGGCGGCTGGGAGAAGGGACCACCGGGGTAGCCGGGCCGCGAGGGCGCACCGAAGCGCGTGTCATACATCGAGTTGCCGAATGCGCCAGCGCCAGGCGCGGGAGCACGCACAGGAGCACCGACCGGAGTGGGACGCTGGACCTCGCGGCCGGAATCTGGGCTTGAGCCTGACCCACCGCCGGGCGCGCCGGGGTGGCCGGGCGCGCCGGGGTGGCTGGGAGGCATGGAGAAGGAGGCACGGCCGCGCGTGCTCTCAAAGTGGAACTTGCTGCGCTCCTGCTTCTCCTGCGACGAGCTGAAGAACGGGTCGGCGGGAGCGGGGTTGGAGCGCGGGATGCTGCGGGGCGCCTCCCCGACTTGCGGAGTGAACATGGGCAAGCTGGAAGCAACCTCGGTCTCGCTCTGCGGCTCGTCGACTTGAGTGAGGCTTAGCGCATTGCCCAAGCGCTCGGGAAGGAGCTCCTCGTCACTGAAGCCCAGGGGACCAATGCCGCGGCGCGAGGAAGCTTTAAGCGTGCTCATTGCCTGGCCCTCGTTGTAGCTGAACCCGCGGCGAGGCCCGGCCCCAACGACAGACATCGAGTGGCGACGACTGTTGTTGCCTGAACGGCCGCCGTTTGCCGTGTCATCGAACCCGCCGACAACCGACGAGTAGCTGGGCTGGGAGCCGAGAGCTTTGCTGACTGAAGCTGTGAGCGCAGAGGTGGTGGGTGACTTCCACGCAGCGCGCGAGCCGAACGTCGGATCCTGGGGCGTTCTGAAGCTAGCGGCCTGGGTGGCAGTGGGGCGCTGCGGCTGCTCGTCTGCATCGCCAAAGGTGCGTACATTGCCGCCAAATGGCGACATGTTGCTCGACTCCTTGCTTTTGGGCCATGGGTCCTCAAACCTCAAGTTGGTCGGGGAGTCAAAGGTCGTCATAGGCATGATAAAGTTACGGTCTGGGCGGTTTCCTGTCGCCATCGACTGAGAGCGCGAGCGGGAGACGTTGGCGGGGGCGATGGGTGGCGAGTACTGCGCACCACTGCCGCCTGGGAGCGCCTGTTGACCGGAGAGCGTAGGTGACGTCGATGGGGACGAGGACGGCGAGAAAGTCGGGAACTGAGATGGAGAGGTGGTGCGCTCCATTGTGCGCTCCTCCATATGTGATGAAAGGGTACGGATGAGAGAGGACGGCTGTGTCACACGGGTGTCAGCGCCCGTCTAACATTGCCATACAACAGGCGCGCGGTAGCACCAAACACGGCGCATCCCGCCGAGTTTGGCGCTGGCTCTGGCGCTGGCCCCGATGCCAGGCCAAAAAGCGATCCAGAAAGCAAGCAGAGCAGACTCACCTTTTGGTCGAGCTTTTCGCCGACCGAGAAGCTGCTCGCGCGCGTCGGCGCGGAATAGCCCACTGCAGCTCTGCCTCCGGTGGGGGTGCGCGATCCGCCGATGACGCCAAAGTCGCTTCCGTTCATGCCTGGGCTGCCGCGTCCGGAAGCGGGGGACGAGTTTGGCTGGCGCTCGCCGGGGGGTTGAGAGGTCGCGCGTCCCTTGACGGTGGAGAGGTATGGGTTGTGGACGGTGAACGAGCGCACGGGGGAGGGACGAAAGTGGGGTTGTGGGGGAGGCGTAGAGGTGGTGGCGGCCGTGTTGGGGTTAGTGGGAGTCGTGGCCAAGTTGGAGTTGGCACCACCGGTGGATGAGGGCGGGCCGGCATCCGACATGGTCGGTTGGGCGGGGGCTAGGTCTCGTGTCTAGGGTGACACGAGACCGCTTGATGGAGGGGATGGAGGGAGAGGCGTGAGAGGAGAGTCGAGGAGAGTCGAGGAGAGTGAGATGGAGAGGAGGAGATGGAGAGGAGGACGGAGAGAGAGAGAGAGAGAGAGAGAGGAGGTGGTGAGGCAGGCTGTGTAGGCGGTGGGCGATGATGAAAGAGGGGGATGGGAGGAAAGGGGGCGGCGTGGGGCGGCACGCTCCAGGGGGAGAGACACGCGAGCAAAGCGTGGTGCGGCGGCACTGGACAGCTGGACAGGCAGTGGCAGTCGACGATCGTCGACCCGGTGCTGACTTCTGTTGCGGCGGTGCGAGTGCGCCAAAGCCAAGCTTCGTCGCAAGCGGAGAGGACGAGCGAGCGCGTGATACTCGGAAAGCAAGAGAACAAGAGTGGATGTATGGATGGATGGATGCGGAGCGGAGGAGCGACACCTAGGCCGTAGATGGTGTACGGTGGGAGGACGCCCTGGGTGGTGGGCTGGGCTGGGTGGGAGATGGAGATGGACGGAGGCAAAATTCCACCACTGCCTCCCCTTTGTTGCTGCTTTGTTCTTTCCACCCGCCGGATCTGGCCTCGGCTTCTCGATGTTTGTCTCTCCAATCTCCAAGAGCGACGGGGCAATCGAGTTTGGGTCAAAGAGTGGCGACGGCGATGGGACAGGGATCTATGGCGATGGCGAAGAGTGAGTGGCCTAGTGGGATGTTGGAAGGCATGTGAGGGCGCTGTGGCCTGCCGGTCATGCACGGAATGGAGGGGCGACGAGTCTTGGTCCAGCGAGCAAGAGATGACCTCATGACCATGACCTTGCATACGCTGGCAGCAGGCAGGCTGCAGGCTGAGATTCCTCGTCCACTACGAGTAGAGGCGTTGAGGCCTGGAGGCACGCACTAGCAGCTGATCAGCTGATTCGTCATACGCCGCCTGCGCTGGTAGGCTGGTACGTCGATCGACCCGACGTCGAGTCAGGTGGACTAAACAGAAGACATCTGACGCGTGACCCACTGGCCGCTGCTGCACCAGAAACACCAGTTCATCCCGAGTGCATATAGTGCGTAGATCATTGGCTCTTTTGGCTCTTTTGTAATCGCGGCCTCTGGAAATGGCGCGCGTCGGCTCGGCCGGTTTGAGACACCTTTTAATTTTATTTCATGCTGCAAATGGTGGTTGGACGTTGGGTGTATTGGTGGTGGTGGTGGTGCCCAGGTGGCTGGGTGGGTGGCTTATTATGAATGCATTGCGCGCCCTCTACCACGCTTGCATCAATCTTGTACTGTAGAAGCATGAATCCCCACGTGGACTGATGCACAGTGTAGTGAATGTTCCCATCGAGTACTCGAGGGCGACATTCAAGCCGCCTGCCTCGGCCGCCACCTACTTACTGTACGCTTGCAAAACCCAAAACCTCGCCACTTTGGCAATTGGCCGTCTGCCCAAGTCAACCCCTAGAACTGTTCCAGCCGCACGACGTTCGCATGCACCAATCGCCCATACCACAGCAACACTTCATACGTTTGTTATTTTAGTTCAACACAACTTGTTTCAACACGCAGGACAGATAGCGAACAACCAGTACACTTGTAATCTTGGCGAGGTGGCTAGAAGCCGTCCTCGGTCTCCTCGTCAGTTTCGTCGACAAAGTCGTAGTCGTCGGCAGTAAAGTCGTCGGTCGACGTGTTGCGCCCTACACTATCGTGCGTGACGTGCTCGACGTCCGAGAAGGAGAACGTCGACGACGCGTCATCATCGTGACCCGCAGTCGAGGAAGGGACGGAGCTGAGGCGCTCGCTGAGCTCCTCCGACGTCGGGACCGGACGACGGTCAACGGGGGTGGGGAGGTAGAACGAGTCCTCCGTATGCTCCAGCGGCGCGCGGGGTACAATGAACGACGACGAGGCCGTGCTCTCGCCCGACGACTGGCGCTCCTCAACCTCGATTCTGATACGAAGGGGCTGGCCGTACTCGCGACCATTTTCATCCTCGAACCGCCACTGTTCCAGAATCTGCCGGCCCGGGAGGTGGGGAACCTTGAGTCCCGGGATGGTCACTTGGATGTCCGCATTCTTGATGATGTCCTCGCGGCGCAGAATGAGTTCCATCTTGCAGGCATCACCCAAGACACCCTCCGACTTGTGGACGAGGTAAAGGAGGTTGAAGTCGTAGTCCTCACCGCTTGCAAAGTTGCGCAGCTGCCACGTCTTGGTAAACTCAGTGCCGGGAGGAAGAGTCGTCGAGGGGTTAATTGTGACGTGGCGGACCCAGGTGAGGATGTCCAGAGGGTCGGCAGGCTCGGTCTCGGTCACGGGCTCCGTGGCCACGGCCGCAGTCGCGGGCTCCGCCGCGGCAACATCAGCGACGGCCGGGTCCGCCGCCTGAGCGGGGATCGACTGAGCAACCTCCGGTGCAGCACTGGGAGCGGTTGAGGTGACCTGGACGTTCGGAGCGTCGTCGTCCTTGGTCACGACCGACGGGCCCTCCTTGGTGTGGATAATGGTCTTTTTAGGCTTCTTGATCTCTTTGTTCTTCTCGCGCTCCTGGACCTCCTCCACCTTCTTGACCTCAGCGTTAAGGTCAAAGTCGCGGGGCAGACGGGGAAGAGAGCAACCGGGGAACGTAATAGCGGCAGGTTGCACGTCATTGCCCGACACGGAAGCCACGGGCGAGTCCTCGATAACAACAAGAGGCTCCTCTTTACCAGCGGCTGGCGACCCAATAGGTTCCTTGGAAATGCTCGAGGCAGGGGCCGGCTGGGGGTTGATAGGCTGAGCCGAGGTCAAGGTAGCCGAATCACCCTCGTTGACACCCATGAGATCTTGAGGACAGCTAGTGCCGGCGATGCTAATACTAGACATCGACTTCAGGATAGCATCGACAGCCTTGGCGTAGTCCTCACCGCGGGCAAATGCAGACGAGCGGACGTCGACTGAGCCTCCGAATCCAGAGGTGGCCTGCGGTGTGGGCTCAGCCTTCGGAAGAGCGCTGGGAGGCTGAGACTTGACCTCGGGCGAAGCGGGCGCCTTGTCCTTGCCGGGCTTCTTGCAGTCGCGCGTAACGCGGTAGCGGCAGTGGTCCTCGTAGACATTCTTAATCGGGTCAAACGAGGACTTGGAGTTGATCCTGAGTGGCATCTTGGTCTTGAGCATAGGGTGACTCTCCGGGTGGATAGGCACTGGCGCTGCCTCGCACTTGACGCAGAGGTCATAGTCAGGACAATCTGGGTGCATGCACTTGAAGCGTGGGCCACGGATTGTCATGTTGCAGCCGTCGCAAACAACATAGGGGTGGTGGACGTCGTTCTTGGCGTCCCAAGCCGCGTTCATGACATAATCGGTGGGCTTGTGAAGTTTAACAAAGCTGTGGTCTGGGTGCACGCTGGGGATGAGCTTGGAGCATGCCGAGCAGCAATCCCAGTCGGGACAGTTGAGACACTTCCAGCGTACTCCAACGATAAGTTCATTGCAGATGTCGCAAGTGGCGGGGTGCCGGCTGCTTTGATGAGGAGCCCGCGACGATGTCGTGCCACCAAACTTGATACGCTCCTCAAGCCCTGGGTGAACCATGGCCTTGAACGTGTGAGAACTGGAGTGAAGGGCGTCGGTGTGCAGGAAGGGCAGGCAGGACCCGCAGAGATCATAGTCGCTGCACTGCTCACACTTGTAGCGCGTGCCGCGAATGCCAGTGAGGCATCCGTCGCATGTAATGTGCTTGTGGCGGTATCCGCCTTTGCCGTGCTTGACCGATGGCTTCAATTGCTCGGCCTTCTCCGCCATGGCAGTCTGGACCTGGGCGTCCGACGACTGTGCAGACTCGGGCTGGACAAAGGCGCCCGGAACATGAACTTCGGGCGTGTTGGCAGCCGGACGAATGGGAAGCTCCTCCGAAGGGTGAGGGGCAATGCGCTGCGCGAAGCCATCAAGAGTGTCGGCCAGCTGACCTTGGAAGTGATTGAGGAAGCGGTCGAGCATCATGCCCACCTCACGCGCAGGAGCGGCGGTGAGCTCGGGGGTATCGAACAGGTCAAGGATAGACCGCTGGCGACCAGAGCTGGGGGAAGGGCCCTCAGAAGCGAAAAGGTCACCGAAGGAGCTCAGCAGACCATAACCCGTCGTAGAGTTGGCCGGCTGAGCAGGGCCTTGAGGGGGGTCCGGCAGCGCCCACGCAGTCAGGTTGTTGCCCCAGTTGGATGGAGCATGCCACGGGCGGCGCCTGTGAGGCGCAGCACCTCCCATGACTTGGTCGAGTGGGGGAAAGAAGAGGTCTGGTCCTGAGAGGTTGGGATCAGGGAGGTTGGGATGACGAAAAGCGTGTCCGACCAGCCAAGCAGCAAGCTCGTTCTCGGTCTCGGCCATCCGGTTCATGTCATCGGTCTCCTGATGGTCTGACCACTCACGAAGCGATAGGCCGGGCGAGGTCGAGGTCGAGGTCGAGGTCGAGGTCGCGGCAAGGCGATCCAACTCCTCCGAGAGGAGACGGTGGCGGCAACGAACCCCACGCAGCTTCTCCTCGAGCTCAGGGAGGCCGAGACGCTTCTGCGCGACCTTGTCGGCCCAGTAATCGGCGGCGGTACTGTCGTTGATGGCGCGAGCCGCTTGAAGATTGTCCTCCAGCGAAATGAGTATCTGGTGACGAATGGTGAGTTCGGTCTCGAGGCGGTAGATCTCCTCCTCCATGTTATTGGCCTCGTTCCGTCCGTGAACGGCTCGGTGGAAGTCGTGGATCTCGTTCATCCTGATGTCGGATGACAGAAGGATAGTGAAGACAAGAGCTGGAGCGGGGAATCCGCCGTAGCGAAGGAAAGGCTGTTGAGCACGCTCGTATCTATTGAATGGACAGAGGGGCGATGTTGCGGTGGGATGGCGGAAGCAACGTTGAAGAGGAAACGCGTCAGCGCCGGCTTCTGGTGGAGGTCGTGAGGGTGGGTGGCAAGCGTCGTCACCTGTTCCGTCTGGCTTTTCCTGTCGGATCCGTACAGGTGCAGATGCGGAATGAAGGCAGGCCATGCTACGCTTACGCGTTCTGTGTCAACTTACTCGGCTTGGTCGCAGATGTGCTGCTTGAACTTGATGCGGGCTGACTGAGTGTCGTCCGGGAAGAAGAGGACGTTTGTCCAGAAGGCGTGGGCGGACGAGGGAAGGCTGAATGCGGAGCGGAGCTGTATTGCGAACGAGCGATGCGATTGAGTTGATTCAGTTGCGGTGAAGAGGAGGAGGAGGGGGATGGATGGAGAGATGGATGAATAGTGAGAAGAGGATGAGGGAGAGATAATGAAGGAAGAACGAGTGTCAGCGATAGAACAGAGGGAGATGACGAGTGCTGCCTCCACCAGACCACCAGCGCCACCATCCAGCCTTCAGCGTCCCGTGTAGTAATCTGAGATCTGTGCAGCGCCCATGAGCAGCCGCGACAAACAAGACGCCCGACTAGATCGTCATCGCGACCACAAGATGTCGAGGCGCCTCATGGAAGCAATTGTGCACCGCCCCACCACCGTTGAGGACGAATTTGCCACCCGGCCGTGACAGCGCCGCTCGAGACTCGAGCCAGTCCAATGCCTACTCACCCGCCGCTGAATCTCGTCGTAGGCCGGGAAGCCATGCGCGTCGAATTGGAGACGGCGCGTCTCGTCACGCAGAGTTGCCTTGATGATGATCATGATGGGAGGGCCGCGGTCGCGAGATGACCGGAGACACACCAGAGACGCGGCGACGTCCTGGAGTGGTGAGATGAGGGGGGGGGGGGGGGGGGGGGGGGGAACTGAGAGGGAGATGAGAAAGAGAGAGAGAGAGAGAGAGAGAAGAGAAAGAGAAAGATGGGGGAGAGAGAGATGCAAGATATACAAGGAGAGCAAGTGAAGGAAGGCGGTGAGAGAGTCACCCACGGTCGAGCGGGTGTTGTGCCCCGTGTGGCCGTGTGGCATTTGTGTGCATGTGATCTCATCAAGCTCTGTCTCTGACTCTCTCTCTCTCTCATTCTTTGCCTCCCGACTCCTCTTACCATTCACTGGCTACCGTGTACGCCTCTACTCTTCTGTGCATCTGTGCATCGAGAGCGTCAGTGTTGTTGAATCATGAATGCATGCTGTCGTCCCTGTACCTGCAGCACTGCGGAAACAGGGCGGGTGAGCCGCGTGGCCGGGTGGCCGGGTATGCGGGTGCACGGGTGCGCGATGCGGTCATATCCACGTGCCCTCTGACTGATTAGCGCCGATCGTACATCCAATTCAGATCGATCGTCGCGCTTTCCTCGTGATCTATGAGTACTACTCTGCCAGCTGCCAGGCTGCTTAGCCAGCTCATGGCTGTACTTGCAAGCACGACTTCACTTCATTTCTGCAAAGTACCACTATCAAGACATATGTCGCTTGCACAGCCCTAGCGTCAACCATGAATCAACCACGCGATCGTGGCCGGTGACTCCTTCTCTCCAATCCGTCCTTCTCATGCTTGTAGCTGCGTCAAAGTCTGCCTTGTTAGCTTCCTGTCCCCTTTATGAGAGACAATACGAAATTACAAGAGTCGCTAGAAGCGGCAAAGGTGTGACGATCCGAACGACAACGACTATTGACCAACCGACTACACGTGTCGACCACGTGGCAACCACCATGCGATAACCACGCATCCCGATCGCAAGACGCTCCAC